TCTCTCTCTCTCTCTCTCTCTCTCTCTCTCTCTCTCTCTCTCTCTCTCTCTCTCTCTCTCTCTCTCTCTCTCTCTCTCTCTCCCCTCCCTCCCTCCCTCCCTCCCTCCCTCCCTCCCCCTCCCTCCCTCCCTCCCTCCCTCCCTCCCTCCCTCCCTCCCTCCCTCCCTCCCTCTCTCTCTCTCTCTCTCTCTCTCCCTCCCTCCCTCCCTCCCTCCCTCCCTCCCTCTCTCTCTCTCTCTCTCTCTCTCTCTCTCTCTCTCTCTCTCTCTCTCTCTCTCTCTCTCTCTCTCTCTCTCTCTCTCTCTCTCTCTCTCTCTCTCTCTCTCTCGGAGAGGGAGAGGGAGAGGGAGAGGGAGAGGGAGAGGAAAGGGAGAGGTTTAATAACTATTGGTTAGGAATCGTGTAACTTGTAATGTTGGCGTGTGTGTAATGTTTGTGTTACCATGCACTGAATATCATTCAACATGTAATTAGATAATAGGGCGTAATATCATTAAACTGTTAAGTGTGTAAGTTATTATATTATAATTGTAGTCCTGTGTTATCTTGTGTAACATTTCAACTCCCTCCCAAATGACGTGTAAGAATGTTATTATATTAAAGTCACTATTGTGACGGTACATTAGAACTAGACAGAAACAAAGTGTGAAGGGCCTGAACGGAACCCCTCGGTTTCAGTTCCTTGTTTAATTCTAAGAGAATATTAGCCTACATTATTCTAGGGGTGCTAGTGGTGTTGGGATATACACTCTTTATAATACGGAGCCCTGAGGGTGACAATATTCAGTAGACTCACTAGCCACTAACTTTCTATACAGCATTATTAATTAATTAGATAATTATAACCGATTGACATCTCATTAGCGGTACGTGACGAGTCTACTTATCTACAATGTGTAAAATAATAGCCGTTCATGATCATTTTACCTTCTAAAGTTTCCTAAAAGTATTATTTATCGCTAATTATCTTAATATCAATTTGCTTTGCAGGGCGGCACGGATCGCTATAGCCAAAATATTTAATCGTCGCTATAAATAAGAATACACTAATCATTTCGTGGTCACCTTGAGATTGAGTTGCTCTGTTAAATAAGTGCTAATATATGTTATAGTTCTTAATTCTACTTGTGAATGTAATATGAATTCCTTCCCGTCACACCCCGCGTAATGCACATCATAAAATGTGCGCTCTAGTCCACGAAAAAGCGCGAATAATTGTTAATGACGCGCGGTAACATTATTCTGATGAAAGGATCTTATTTGGTATCCAGTTTCCCAGAATGAGAAGTTAGTGAGCTGCGCGCTACCACTATAATTATTAGTGACCGATTGGGCAACTGTCATGTCTTTGTCAAAGTAACGGGGTCATTTCTCCTGATAATGGCTCTTAGAGAATCTTCATGGAAAACATTTTTCTTAGAGGGACTCCCAAAGGATAAGATCCTAAAATGCTTCCCAGATCAATCCATAGAACTGTGCTGCAGGATCGCTAAGAGATTGGAATTTGGGCCGGCAAAATAAATAGCCGCCTTAAATTGATAGACGACAATCCCCACAGCAGGATCGAAAATTTGGGAATTCTTCAAATAATACACAAGTTATGTTTTGATACTAAGGGTGTAAAAGATTTTGATAGGTTGTAGAATATTTTAATTTATTGGTGCTACTAACACCGTGTTAATTAATTGTTTTACAATAGAAAAAACAATGCACAGCACTACAGCAGGGTACACTGACTTACTGTCTTAGGGCGGCTTCAATGTCCGAGCAGATATAATTTTTCTCCAAATCTTTATCCAGCATGGCCATGAGCTTGTTTATCTCCTTGCTGTCGTCAAGCCCCGTGTCCCTCCTCAAGATGTCTATATAGGTGATGTATGGTCTTCCCCCTACGACGATGTCCGTGAAGGAGTTCCCAGAGGAGAAGCTGATGGGTCAGAAGCTCGTCATGTCTGGCGAGATGACCAGCGAGCCTCATCCTCCGTTCACCTATCTTATCAGACGCTCTCATGAGTAATGGATACACCTTGTCGTTAGTCTGCCGCTCTGACCATGTTAAATGCCATCCTCAGCATTCTCGTATAGCATTTCTGATAATACACTGTTGCTGAGTTTACCAAACCCATCAATATGGTCAATCTTATGAAGGAGCAGACTGACTTTTGAGAAAATATTTTAGATCTAGTTTAAGTTCCTAACGATTGCTGCAGTAGTAGTTTGCAACTTAAAGTTGAACTTATCATTTGAACTTTGTTTCATTTGTTCTTTACCCTGCTCCTTGATCTCAAGTAGAACACTTTAGTGCCAATAAAGGAAATAACACCATTATTATAACACTAGTGTAACCCAGGCCTACAGCCTTCATTATCGCAGTTGAAATGCAAAAGCATAAACGGTGCAAAGGTTAAAACGGTGCAAAAGTATGAACTCGCTTAGTCAAAACCGGCCGCATTATAGTAAATTTAATTCGGAGTATCCAATAGTAATACTTAATACCTTACGAGACATATTTATGAACGACATATAATAATTCCGGTGACCTAAATGATTTGGGAACGAAAATATGGGAATTGTTTCCGAAAACCACCAAATTTCGTACCCCAAATTAAATCATTGTATTTGGGGATTTTTTTAATCTCCTTATTCTACAAAAATGAAGCCTAATATTTGAGAAAATTAAATACAGAAATCTTCTCTGGCCAGCTGTTTCATCTTGTAAATTTCTCCGGAGCCTTTGAAAGTAACTTCTAATCCTCCAGACGGTATAGAAGACCGACGGTGTCTGTTATCTTCCACTACTCTCGAAATTTCGCCGCCGTGGCCAATAAAGTAGTGACTGAGGCCAGAGCTTGCTTACTTTTGATGGAACGTGTCGAAAGTCATTTTTAAAGCAATTCTGATAGAATAATAGTGTTCATTTGTTTGATGAATCATATTTATAACTTACTATATTGATAGTAAATCGATAAATTCATAATTAAGGAAAATACGTGAAAAATAATTTAGGGAAAATAATGACGGTGACCTACATTTTTTTAGTCCGAAAATATGGTGCTTTTTTTCGAAAAACCACCGACCTTCGAGCCATTTAGATATGTCTCGTAAGGTACATTCTTTTATATTTACTAAATAGAATTTGTTTGGCTGGAAATGTGAAGCCGGGTAGGGGCAATTGTTTGGAGACTGGTATTTCCTGTCATTTACGAATTGTTGAGAAACCTTTCATTTATTATAAAGTAATCAACTGAAGAAATTAATATTACTTATCCGTGTAATCTATCATTAAAGTGATGGAGAATACTGTTCAGTAATAATGGATTTCTTCAGTTAGTTGGTAGGTAAGTAGACTGTGATATGTGTATAATTACTGGTAATTATAAACTCCCTCAACTATAAATTTGACACATTGTTACTAGCTGGTATACTAGCTAGCCGCTACTCCGCTAGCGTTCCTGCCCACTTCATCAATTATCAGGTGGTTAAAGCTGTCACGACTTCTAAACTGAATAAGTTGACAAGTGTAGAAGCTGCTCTGTAGATGATTTGTAGATGTCCTGAAACTATTAAGAAAACTCTGAAGGAACTATGAACTAGTCTGATATTGTGATCATGTGTGGCATTGTTGCAATATATGTTATCCACTAATGTGTACTACTGAACTAAGGAGGCGCCATCAGTAGAATCAACTGTAACCATGGTAACAACTGTAATCAACTGTAAACGATCCCACCTGAAACATAATGTTTTCTTCTTGAAGAAGAGAACGGTGCCGGCCACGCTGCCGGCCACGCTCACAAGACCTTGATTAGTCCGTTTACCGGATTCCGAACATATTTACTAAATAGTGAGGTTTCCTGTACCGGACCTACTCTTCCTCGCAACTTGCCTGTAATTCTTTAGCTGGTTCATTTAGCGAGAAGTTGGCGGGGTTCTCCTGGAAAAGGGGCAAATATTTGGAACAATTACCGTGACTCATTATCATAACCTCAACAGACTTTTAACAGTACCCATCACAACTTGACAGCAGAGAATTATTTTGTTGACGCTGAGAAATCCTCTATTTGACGTGGTAAACATGAACTTAAAAAGCTTCCACTGCATTACTTGGGATGCCTACTCTGCTTCATTTGTTGGCTCATTTCCCTTCTCGCAGCAGTTCAGCTTGTTTCACTTTTGTCGTTGTCTTAAAGATTATTGTATGTATCAGCTTGGTTTTGAACCTCATTATTTGTTTTGTCCACCGATTGTTTTAGTGTATCATATTTTGTAAGTTTCATATTTCACTTGTAGTTGAACCCACCCATTCTACCCTAGTTGGTGACCGCTGAGATGAACAAGTTGATACTTTCCTCCACCCTCCTGGTGCTGATTCTGGTGCTGGCATGCTGCCAAGCTGAGGAACTGGACATCGATTTAGACAATATCATGAATGACGCTGATGATGAGGCGGGGTGTCGTGCGTTTGGTCCTCACTTATTCCTCATGTTCGCTGCGGGCGCCCTCGCTGCACTTTTATAGGGTCTTTCTGTTCCCTTGACAACAATGACTTGCTGAAGACTTGCCCTCAAGGACTTGTTGAAAACTCAAAGACTGTATAATGACAACATAACGTGTATTTGTTGATAACAATATTTATCATTACTAAATAATATAATATTTATTATTGGTTACATTTCTTATTTCTCTTTTTACGAAGTTTTTACTGGAGCGTTTTACTGAAGTGAAGACGAATTTTCTTTTTCCCCAACATCAATTATTGTGAATATAATATAAAATATTTACCTTCTATACTAAATTTAAAAGATTACTATTTTACCTCTCGCCATTATCCAATACAAACAATGTATAAAATTCAGATGGACATTAAAAATCGAAACATTTTACGAAGAATGGGTTATTTTTGAAACTGGGACCGATTTAAAAGTTTATAGGCTAGGAAAGTCAGAACCGGATTTAAGACTTCTTTGTTCAATATTTCTTATAAAAATCCTATTTTCAGCTACCAAGAAGAATACATTGCCGCAGTCCAGTCAATAAAAAATAAATTGGTATTCTCATCAAAGAGAGGCCTGACATACATTGCTGAAATCCTGGAGTCGGGAAAGATAAACCACAAAATGGTTCGCACACTTTCTCTTTAATATTAATGTGTTTGAAAGCGAATGAAGCGTTTCGTTATTTCCCAAGTATTGATAGTTCTTTCATTCAAATTTCTGATTGTTTCTGAATAGACTCAGTGAAGAAAGATTCTAATGGAAATAAATAGCTGAATAACATATCAACATTTCTTCATCGTACTCATATTCTTAAATTATTTGTTATATATACTGTGTTGAAAGTATTAAAAAGTTTTAATAAGTTTTTTAAAAGTTTTAATACTTTCAACACTACTATATAACAAATAATTTGAGAATACGAGTATGACGTAGAAATTTCGATACGTTATTACGTTATTCAGCTATTAATATTTATTTCCATTAGAATCTGTCTTCACTGAGTCTATTCAGAAACGATCAGAAATTTGAATGAAAGAACTATCAAATCATGAGACTCAATAACACTACACGAATCCACCAGATTTCCCAAGTATTCTTATCATTTAGAGGCTCAGATCTGATTTGCCACTATGTTTACAGGACCACCTGGTGTGTTTCCTGCCGGGGAGTTTAGCACTGGGAACCCTACACGGAGCTCCCTCCTGGCACCTGGAGCTAGCTGAGCAGGTCATCAGGACCTGTGTGGAGATGTACCATACTAAAACAGGCCTAGCTCCGGAGATCATCAAGTTCGACTCTAGCTCTAGACTCTTTATCAGCGTGAGTAGAGAGAGACACTACAGATATTATTATAGTTTTAAACTAATTTCAATACTAAAAATATATTACATTTATTGAGGACGTTACAGAAGGAATTGATTTAATGTAGTTTGAGAAGTCCTCACTCTCCTCAAGTCCAACAATGGCGTTTCTCTTGTCGCTAATATGTATACTATAAATATTATAGAGTGGTTTACAGGTAAATATTTAGGAGTATCAGCATGGTAGGTGAATATTTACATGTTACTATCACCTCCAGTTTCTGACTTTTTTATTCATTAAGTATAAAAATGCCTCAGAGAAATGACGAATTTTCCTTGTTGCGACCCGAGACAGTAGAATCCCTGTTTATATTATGGCGAGTGACTAAGAAGCCCAAATACCAGGCGTGGGCATGGGACATCTTCAGTTCTATAGAGAGATCTGCTAAACGCTCCGAGAAGGGATACAGGTACTATAATACCTGAAACTATAATACCTTAAACGCACTTATTCTTTGTTACAAATATTTATAAGATCTAATTTTCGTTTACAATTTACGAATTCTAGCTATCGGGATCGTTTTACTTTAATAATTGTTATTTTTGTCTTGAAATAGTCCCCTTCAGTTCGATGGAGAAGATTAACACAGATAAATCACGAAGAAAAGGAGAAATGGAGTCGTTCTTCCTGGCGGAGACTCTCAAATACCTGTATCTGATAAACGGAGCTGATGACGTCATACCACTCAGCAGATATGTGTTTAACACTGAGGCACATCCCTTTCCCATCAGGCCCTCTGACTTCGGGGACAAATCAGAACAATAGAAATAAAACACGGGGTTTTACTTTATTTTGGTTACAATAGTTACAATTAGTTGGTCTAATGGATAAATAATAAATTATTCATCCCTTCAGACTTCAGAACTAGTTAGGACTTAGAATGAACAATTACAGACTAATTTATTTATTATCGATTTATTCTAGTTTGTAGTTTGACTTTTTGATGTTATAATTTGAGGACGGATTTACTTTTAAATATTTTTTCAAATGCGTAAAAAATGTAACTTAACACCGAACACGCCATCTTTAATTTATTTTTCTAGGACGATCAGTTTGACCAATCTGGTAACTAGAATCTTTTTAATCGGGGAGTTCTTTATCTTAATAAAGATCGGGGTATTCTTTTTACACTACAATATGCGTTATAACAATCTGGTAACTAGAATCTTTTTAATCGGGGAGTTCTTTATCTTAATAAAGATCGGGGTATTCTTTTTACACTACAATATGCGTTATAACTACCCCCCCCCCCCCCCCCCCCCCCATTATCATATAATTGGGGGTTAACATCTTTTTGTGGTAGGTTTGTAATATTCAGGAGAGAGGTTAATTACCAATTTATAACTTTACCTGCTGGGAAAGGCGAGGAGTGAACAAATCAACATTAACTCAATGGTTTATTAAATGTTTTTTAGTCATTGCTATTTCTTTTTAAAGAATTCTGAATTCACTTTAAGATATAACTAAAACTTGTCTTAGAAGTTGCTATTCGAAGGGTTTTGACAAAGCTGTGATCATTTTAGCTATTATATTCAAATAGGAATATTATTTATGAAATTGTAAGGTCTAGTTAGATTTTTGTTATATTTTTCGTTAAAACTTTAGTTTCAATTCATCTCTCTCTTCAGTCCTCAAATTGGTATTCAGTCCTCATTAATTATGCCTTATATTTTATATTTTTAAGAAAGTAACGAAACTAAGTATAGGTTTGACTGCTTACGTATTGGTTCATTTCATTTAAATATACAGTTAAATAATCAATATTTTAGAGTTGAATATTGTTAGTCTGAATTCAGCTTCACATCTTGTATGGGCGTCATCAGGTAAGTTCTCGCCAAAAAGTTACTAAAAAGTGTCTAACGGTCCAAAATGATCTTACTCGCCCAAAATGTATTCCTATTTATCGATAACATTACAAAATGTATTCCTATTTAACAAGTATATTTCCTGCCACAATAAAAAGTTCTTAGAAACTGTAACTCAAAAGTTACCCTTTACACAACCGTATCTTCTTTTTGTCCAATTAGCTAGAGTCCATAACCCGGCAAAAAGCTAGAGTCCATAACCCGCTAATTAGCTAGAGTCCATAACCCGCTAATTAGCTAGAGTCCATAACTCTTTTTTGCGGCATGAAACCGGTCCTTTCTCCGGGCACCAGGTAGCTGAAGCTCGTGTCTTCTGAACCTTGACAAACTCTGATCTTGTAGTTCTGACACTCTCAGCTCTTCTCCTCCAATTATCAGTTCTTCCAATACCTTGTAGAGGTTACTGTTAGAATTTAAACTGAAGGTTATGTTGTGTCATCGCCTATCGGATAGTTACAGTTCTGTTACCCATGAACGGACATCATGTGGACGCTGGAGGCCTTAATTGACGATGTCAGTTCTTCGCAGCTTGGCGAGGCCCAGTAGTGCATCTCGCCGATCTAACTAAGTACCCCTGGCCCTAGTACTAGTAGCGTTCTTATTTATGTCCGTTCAGATATTAGGTCGGTCCGTTTTGGTCCCTATTAAATAATTTAATTATCCACTAAACGATGAAGTGCTCACCTGGCTACTTCCTCCTCCTGTCTGGTTTGCATCTAGAGTCAGCACCATTAATACAACGCTCAACACCACTATAAGCACCTTCGTCATTCTACATTTTCATCAATTAAATACATAGTATTGTTCCTCAGGGTTATGGTATGTACCCTGATTACCAAAGACGGCCACGTTTCTGACATATTACAACAATACGAGATGTATTAGAATAATATAAGTTCTTAAAGAGTTTTCAAGTTAATGAAATTGTTTCTGAAATGTTTCTCTACTCTAAAAATTGACTCAGCTAAACTTACTGGGCGGCGCTCAGCCTGTCATTCTGCCAAATCTCCATTCGGATTAAGATTATGAACATAAATATAATAGCCTGGGGTCCCCAGGTAAAGCTAAACAAAAGGTCTGTAGCTATTTTAAGGGTCGTCCACATACTATAAGTAATCAGCCGAGGGGGAGGGGGTTTCTAAATGATTACGCTAGTGTAATTTTGACACGATAGCTATGTGTAAAACTGATTACGGAGGAAGAGGGGGTTACAAATTGTCCAAAAAGCGATTACGTAATATGTGAACGACCCTTACGAAATAATGGTAGATAGAATGTAGAAATAGTAGCCTGACATTAGGTTGGAACTTTTATAATTGGAATTTCGCAATATTTTTAGCTCAATTCAATCGCAGTTTTGATTCTATGTAAGGTATTAATAGGATATTAACTATGTCTGTTTAACTATTTAACTATTTAGTTAAAGCAAATGAGCATCTCGTCAACTGTCCAGATTTTATGATCGTGGCGGTGAAAAGAGGGAACGCAAGAGAGGAGTTTTGGAATAATTATTAAAACTGAGGTTTTGATAAACATTTTTTAAATGCTTACGTACAATTTTGCGAATTTTATTGAACTACTTGATGTTGAAAACCCAAATTTTTAGAACTAATTCAAGTAGTTGAAACAAGTTACCAATTACCATGGCATCAAGTTCCTCGCTGCACTGAAACAAGTTACCATGGCAACAAGTTCCTAGCTGTACAGGAACAAGTTACCATGGCAATATGAGCTGCTGCACTGAAACAAGTCACCGTGGCAACAGGAGCTGCTGCACTGAAACAAGTTACCATGGCAACAGGAGCTGCTGCACTGAAACAAGTTCCTCGCTGTACAGGAACAAGTTACCATGGTGGCATGGCAACATGAGCTGCTGCACTGAAACAAGTTACCATGACAACAAGTTCCTCGCTGTACAGGAACAAGTTACCATGGCAACATGAGCTGCTGCACTGAAACAAGTTACCATGGCAACATGAGCTGCTGCACTGAAACAAGTTACCATGGCAACAGGAGCTGCTGCACTGAAACAAGTTACCATAGCAACAAGTTAGACGCTGCACTGAAACAAGTTACCATGGCAACATGAGCTGCTGCACTGAATCAAGTTACCATGGCAACAAGAGACGCTGCACTGAAACAAGTTATCATGGCAACAGGAGACGCTGCACGGAAACAAGTTACCATGGCAACGTGAGCTGCTGCACTGAAACAAGTTACCATGGCAACAGGAGACGCTGTACTGGCAAAAAAGCGTTCTTTTATAGGGCACATTTTAGTGCTTGCGAAATCAATTAGAAAACGACCGCTATTAACATCTCCGGCGGAACGTTCTGCATTTCGGGATTATGTGTCAAATTTCTTAAGTCCTGGCGAACGCTTCGACCTTCTAGTTCTTTAAAGCTCAAAATGGCATTATTTTCAGCATTTCCATTAGAGGTGGCATTTACTCGTACCAAATTTGCATGACAGTAGGTCGACATCAGGAATACTAATACAAATAGCCAACATGACGTAGTTAGGTAGTGTACCTCCAACAAGTACGTAAGCCGTAATATTAGGTAATTTATTTTGCAAAGCTAAAAGTTGGATAGTACGAGCAGGGACTTATATTTATATATTTTTAGTACCTCGTAGGACTAGTTAATTAGTTTAATAAAAAGTTTGTATTTGTAAAAAAATTTGAATGGTTGGACTGAAATAAAACTGGATATATCCTCGAACTCATTTCAAGGGATCCACTGCCAGCAAACCTTTATTATATCGATCATTAGGACTAACATCAATGAACACACGCAATAGTGCATAGTGAATGGTTCAACAATCAACACAATATCGGGATAATTTAAATACCATGAGTTTCGAAAAATTAAAATCTTACAACCTTAAATGATTTTCGTCAGCTTAACAGATTAAAGAAGAAAGATACTACCGTCTACCGTAGCCAAAAAATAATAATAATAATAACTAAAAATTTATATTTCGCTTTATAGCCAAAAAGAACTCAAAATCCAAAGATTCAGTTCAAGCCATCTAAAGCGAATCATGAACATGTACATAAGAACTTAGAATTTTATGAAGTATGGTTTGTATGAGAAAGATATTATATGAAACTTATAAGAACACTTTTTCAAAGAGATGAGTCTCTTTTTAAACAAGACAATATCGGTCAAAGTTCTCAATTGATAAGGAAGCTTATTCCATACGGAGGGTCCTCAGTAACTAAAACCTCTCTCAGTTTTACTATAATTTGAGACAGGAGGAACATTTAGGAGGAAATAGTCTTGTTCAGTTCGTAGCACACGTACAGCTAGGTTGACTCTTGATGTCGATGCATTTGGTGATATATAGTCTGGACTCTGGAGCTATGTTGTTGACGCATTTAAACATTGTTAGAGCAATTTTATACTCTATTCGCTGTCTAATTGGAAGAAAATAGGCCTTTTTCAGGAATGGAGTGACACTGCCACTTTTTTAATAACTTTTCTACCAAAAAAGAATCGTACACAGGAATTTTGTACTTTCTGGAGTTTCTTTATGAGAAAATCAGGTAAACCATAGAGAAGTCCATTGCAATAGTCTAGTTTTGAAAAGATCAAACAGTGAATGAGCTGTCTTTTTAGGTCATAATTAAGCTTTGAGTCTTGATCTTCAAATGTAAGGAATTGATCAAAGAGGACACCTAAACTTTTTACTGTGTGGGATGCATCCACAGGGTTGCAGCTGCATTGTCAAGTTGTATTGAATTGACTGGACATGAAGAGTAACTGTTCTTGGTCTGTAGAGCTTCTGTTTTGTTTTGGTTTAATTTGAGTTTATTTTGGGTCATCCAGCTCTTAATTTCTTGAAAACAATGTGTTATTCTCTTTTCGATTGTTGACAGATCTCGAAATAGTGGTTTAAACTCAATGTAAAGTTGGGTGTCATCTGCGTACATGTGGATTTTAAATCCATGTCTCTTTGCAATATGATTAAGCTCCTTTGTGTACAGTATAAACAGAATTGGACCTAGAATTGAACCTTGCGGGACTTTAATTCTAAGGAAGTATCCTTTGAATTCTGCAGAGTGGTTCTGCAGAGTGCTATAATGATGTTTCATATCAGTAAAAACGGTAACGAGTTATGCTAATTAGAACTCTCAAAATTGATTGCATTTATTATATTTATAGTTATCATAGGTGTCTATGTACATTGTGCAACGCATTTAAATCTAAGTTCTTATACGACGGAGTTTCATGAAGGTGCAGCAGTCTGCAGGACGCAGGTTGTTGACAAATATCGCAATACCTTTATACTTAAAGTTCTTTGTGTTTTAACGTCGATTCCTTGTCTCAGCGGTTGAGGACGATAAGGTATTTCCACTCGAAACGCTTGGAGTAAGAACTTTGAACAGACCTTACAATATGTATATTTGACCGTAGAATCGATTAATATGCCATTTCTAAATAACTCGTTATTTACTCTCAAACTCAAAGTCATTACTCATTACGGGGCACCTTTTACCCAATAATCAACTCAACTATAATTAGGAAAACCGGTAGAATTAAATGATCCGTATGACAAGTAGTTAACACTAAACAGATTATACAAAATAAAATTATACACGAGGAAAATTATACGGTTGGTCGTCCTGGCGACGGTTAATTGGGACTATCCCGATTAGAATACCTAGTAACCAGATATTGAGTGTTACCTAGTAACCAGATAGTGAGTGTTACCCAGTTACCTAGTAACCAGATAGTGAGTTTTACCTAGTAACCAGACAGTGAGTTTTACCTAGTAACCAGATAGTGAGTTTTACCTAGTAACCAGATAGTGAGTGTTACCTAGTAACCAGATGGTGAGTGTTACCTAGTAACCAGATAGTGAGTTTTACCTAGTAACCAGATAGTGAGTGTTACCTAGTAACCAGATATTGAGTGTTACCTAGTAACCAGATAGTGAGTGTTACCTAGTAACCAGATATTGAGTGTTACCTAGTAACCAGATAGTGAGTGTTACCTAATAACCAGATGTTGAGCTTTACCTAGTAACCAGATGTTGAGTTTTACCTAGTAACCAGATAGTGAGTTTTACCTAGTAACCAGATAGTGAGTTTTACCTAGTAACCAGATAGTGAGTGTTACCTAGTAACCAAATATTGAGTGTTACCTAGTAACCAGATAGTGAGTGTTACCTAGTAACCAGATGGTGAGTGTTACCTAGTAACCAGATAGTGAGTTTTACCTAGTAACCAGATAGAGAGTTTTACCTAGTAACCAGATAGTGAGTTTTACCTAGTAACCAGATAGTGAGTGTTACCTAGTAACCATATAGTGAGACGTGAGTGCCAACTAGTAACCAGATAGTGAGTGTTAACTAGTAACCAGATAGTGAGTGTATAGACCTAGTAACCAGATAGTGAGTGTTACCTAGTAACCAGATAGAGAGTGTTACCTAGTAACCAAATAGTGAGTGTTACCTAGTAACCAGATAGTGAGTGTTAACTAGTAACCAGATAGTGAGTGTATAGACCTAGTAACCAGATAATGAGTGTTACCTAGTAACGAGATAGTGAGTGTGCTAACAACTGACTGGAGGATCAAAATTAATTAATAAATGTAAGATTACCAATGTTTCCAGCGGTTTGAACTATCACAATGGGGTAATGCGAGGGACCGCCCTCATAGAAACTACTAGGTTTACTTTCACTATAATCTTACTCACCATCTACTGCCCCTTTTTAAGACTGAAGGCTTATCAAGCTTTTCTACATTCATTTCTCCTCGACTACATCATTTATTTTCTTTGTTTCTCTTAATATCCAAACATAAATTATCATCAATAATCGCTCACGGATACTGTTTCGAATAATATTTTGACAAGTAAAACCATTCCATATTAATTTTCATAATTTTAGCAGTTTTTCGGTATTTACATGTATTTACAAACAATTTATATCAATATTGACGGAAAAGACAAGACTTTTGGCTACCTGACATCAAATGAGTATTAGATTCGGAAAACAAGCCATAATGAAAGTAGAGGCGTAACAGTTGGTTGAAGACGTTATCTGACCAAGAGAACAAATGAAAAACATCAAAACTCACACTTAACAAAAAAAACGTTCACTGTAACTGGCCCAATATCCAGTAAAATATGGTTCACTATTTAGGCTCATAGATTATAGATAATAATTCCAGCATTCTGAGATGATACAAAATCCCTCCCCCACAGGCAAGGTACACTCTGTGGGGTCCCCCCCCCCCCCCCCCCCCAACACACTTTGTGACAACATTTCATATTTCTGATGGGAACGAAATAAATTAAAGATTAATGAGCTGAGATGTGGTGAGTTAAGGTCTGTCGACTGAGAAAGTAAGTCCTGTTTTTATCTAAGCGCTGATAAGAGGATGGATCGTTTTGCTCTTCCATTTAGCGACAGTTATAATTGTGGGTTCTTCCTCCTCCTCCTCATTACTCTGGGGCAGCTCGTGAGTAACGTACTCTCCTCTCTGTTCACATCCCACGTGTTGGAACACGTATTTTCCTTCCCCGTGAGGCTGATCGTTCGCGAATCCTCCCACGTATTTGTGATTGTTGTGTATCCATTCACCACCGCCCTCTCTCTTACCGTCCTTCCACGTTCCGATGTATTGTGACGCAGTGGCTTGGTACGTGTACTTGCCCTGACAAGGTTTCCATTGAAATAGCTTTAAAGGAGAACTTGATAGGTTTAATGTCAATATTGTTATAATTATTATGTTTCATATCTAAATTCTAACATTATCGTCATCGTTGGCGTACAATACCGTCAACCAACAACCAGTTCCATGGGTGAAAGATTCTTGATGAGATATAAAACGCTAAATGCAGTTAAATGTACCTGTCCATGTCTGACGTGATTGTTCCATTCTCCCTCATATGTATCACCGTTGACGTAAGTGTACTTTCCGTGACCGTTTCTCAGGTCATCTTGCCAGTTTCCCTCGTACTTAGAACCATCGGGGTAAATAAACTCACCGAGGCCTTGTTTCTTGTTTTTCGCGTAATCTCCTGGTAAAAATAAAAAAATGATAAGATAAAGAGATAACTCTGACATCGTTTATACACAAAGCCGAAGAAGAACGTCGATTTAGCAATTTCGCGTCGGTCACAAGTTCACAGTGGAAAATATCTGGATTTTATTCTTGCATAAAAGCGATAATGCAATTATCGCGTGTTTATCGCCCAATATGCGATTATCGCGTGTTTATCGCCTAACATGCGATTATTGCGCACGATTATCGCCTAACATTGGCGATTATCGCTAAATGCACGATAATCGCCATTAAATAGTGATAATCGCTAAAATCTGCGATGATAATGCAATAGTGAAATGATGAGTTAATTTTGACATACTGTGAGTCATATACTGCATCAACATTCAACACTGCACTGAATCAAAATTATGGTTGAACAGCAATAAAAAATATTATATTTGATATATATATTAAACCTTGTGCCTGACGCCGCGCGCAGCGGATCCTGCATTTTCATTTTGAGTTTGACCCTGGCCTCACAATTACATTTTACAATCAAACTATAACCTTCAAAGGCGAAAGTAAACACAAGCATCAACATTTCATATTTCCAATTTCATTCCTCTTCCCCCTGTTTAACGGACGCAAACGCTATTTACGAATGACCCCTGGGCCCCTACGACAAACCCGAAACCATAAACATAAACTTCTATTCAATTTGTAATTCGAAAATTATCTCATAATTCCGTTATGGAAATAAATCTTATACATGAATAAGAATCTGAATCAATACATATTGTTCATTCTGTCTGCCGATGGCAATTATATCAATATTATATTCAAATAGTACACGGAGTTCATTACTGCATTTCAAGTTTGACACGCGCGGTGAGCCGCGCACTTTTGTTGGATTTGAACTATACGAAAATCAAATTATGAATCGAGCGCTACTAGGGCGCTCACTTAGCGCTTAGTTACCAGCCAACTTTACTTGTTATGATTTGTACCTCTTAGTGTGACCTGGATCAGAATATTTTCTTCGACTTCAGTTTTCAAAAGTGAGAGTGCTTGGATCGAATATAGATATATCTCTGTAAGAGTGTATAAGATGTTACAACTTACACACGTGCGGTAATCGGTATCATGTCACCAAGTGACTTGTCTATTGTCGTTACCAATGGCCACACTATTCACCTAATACCGTAATCTGCTTGACAGCTCGATCGAATTAAATGATTGCATTTGTTGTTATAAAGAACGAAATTAAGCACGTTCATATCGATTATCACATTAGTGAGAACATGAGTGGAAGCAGGACAGAAATGTTCGCAGGGTTAACTGTAACACGACAGTTAAGACCACTTGGTTCCGATGGCTTCCGCAGGAGATGTTGGTTGTAAGTTATTATACATCGAACTTGTTTGTTTCCTCTTACCTACATTTTTGCTGACTCGACCTGCAATCTGCACGAGTTGTAAGTGAAATTATATAAATCTTCTAATTGTAGGTATATTAAAGTATATTAAAATGTAGGATTTTTTCCGATTTTGACCCGGGGATATACTTTAATATACTTTAATATGGTTGGCCCCCCCCCCCCCCCAAATTTTACTCTTCAGGCACATGAGAGCCAGGTTCCCTACTCTCGAAGCGGTTCCCGAAATAAAACGAGCTGTGGCACGTTTCTGCCATATCGAGGGTAAATAAGTTTTTATCACTTGCCATTGCCTCACTTCTTATTAGGAACTAGAGAAGTTCTCGCAAAACATCATGGCTTAAAAAATGACAACTCTGATCGATATATCTTTTGTAAAAATCGTTCTTTAATCATTAAGGAGATGAATACATTTCAGAAAGTGGCGTACACTCTGATTGGGTGAGGGAGGTCCAGCTACGATATAAGAAATATGCTGTTGACAAGAAATGCAAGAGGAAGGGGGCAGCAGTGAAGCAGAGAGCAGCATCGGATCATCCCCCAGTTACTGCTGCTGGTACCCAGACAGATCCACTGCACGCATTGCACTGCAAGGTAAGCTGCACCTGTATCACATATGAACAATCAAATTTCATCTGTCATGATATGAGATCCACTGAATCCCTGTTGAAACAAAGCTGTTAAAATAGTGATATTCAGGATTGTGTGACCAATGCCATGCGGCATGTCCTGGACGAAAAGGCGGCGGAAATTGCGGAGATGAGGACCAATCTCCTCCTCCACCAAGCACCCTCTCCGACCCCAGCACCCGTCAGGTAGCATAGCAGAATAAATATGACCCGGTGTCCAATGTTTTTGAAATGGTTGAAAATCGTCATTTAGTATGCAGTTTAATTCCATTGTAATGTTATTGCCAGGGTTATGTAATATGTTTGTACCCAGGCTAACAATATTTAGTCAAATTTAAAACTGATATATAACACATCTAAATATTGCAGCAGTATCCTGATCAGAACCCCTGACCCCATCCGCTCTCGCTCGCGAACTCCCTCCGTCAGTTCAAATGGGCCAGGGTAAATTTTTAAGCCATAAAAGTAAATGAGTTAATGTATGTGGTGTTTTGGTAAGTCAACTAGTTATTTTATTGATAAGAAAGGACTCTTATGAAGATTGGCGATGCGTTATATCATTTGTGATGAAATCTTAACACCATATTTATTTCAGACCGTCCCGTTCCAGTCACGGTACACCAGTCTGTGCTGTGCAACCACGATCACGGATTAATTCAGCAGCATCCAGGTATTAGGCAGTGAACCCCCCTCCTGGCTCTCCCTCCCTGGCCCTCCCTCCCTGGCTCTCCCTCCCTGGCTCTCCCTCCCTGGCCCTCCCTCCCTGGCTCTCCCTCCCTGGCCCTCCCTCCCTGGCCCTCCCTCCCTGTCCCTGCCTCACTCATTCTAATTTCAGTATCAGTGCGGACAACTGGGGGCCCGAATCTGTCATAGAAGCCAGAGTCCGCATGGCTGCTGAGAGGAAAAAAAAAGGCCTCTCAAAAGAAGCTCACTGCGACTGAGATTTTCCGACAGCGTTGGGGAGGTTCAGTTTAACTATAAAACTTGTAAATACACTGAATTTATTATTAATTTTTGAAAAATTATGTGATGTTTGTTCCGTGATACTAACTTTTTTTTGTGACACTAATTCATTAACTCTATTTGTGATACTAATTTATTAACTAATTTTATGATACCAATTTTGTGACACTAATTTTGATAGACTGTGGGATACTGAAGGGAAAAGAAGCAGTTCTAACGAGCTCTTCTCAAACACAAGGATATATCTTGTGAACTTGGCTGGTATATATGAAACATTTGACACGGAGTTGTAGAGTGAGCTATGTGCCTCGCCAGGGCTAAAGTAGTGAATGACCTTGCTGTACGGCAAGTTAAACAAGGATCTGAAACTACTAGGTTCCGTACAGGCTCAACTCTACACCCGTGCCAATATGTTCATATGAAAGCCTCTTGATTTATACTAATAATTCTTTAATTCTTTTTGCTCGCTTTCTTTTCACCCTTCCCCCTCTCTCGATATTTCATCAATTATCACATCCCAACATTTGAAATGTTTTCAAGTAAAGTTTAGCCTCAAGAACTTAACCTTCACGGACATTATAGTAACAAAATGCTTTGCCCGTGTGTTCTCTGTCAACAAGAGAATGAATTGTCCGACCGTACGGTAAAGGAACATCTGCTCTCATTCGGTCACATGAAGAAAACACTGTTGGCTGATTTTATCAAACATACCGATCCGGGAGACAAACTTTTTCACCACGTGCTGAGGTAATTTACTAATAAGACACAGGCTGTCTGCATCTTTGACTATAAAACATCATCAGTCGTAACTTGAGTAGGATCAGAGTGGGTTGAGTGTAGCACTTTAAAAGGATATTTAAGAGCTGAACTTGTGAATATTAAACATCTGAAGGTGATCATCCGTGTAATCCTGCAGGTCGTTACTAGATAAGTGCTTTGAAGAGGGAGCAACCTTTGAGGTGAAGGGTTCACAGGGAAAACCCCTCCTCATCACCACTATCATTAAGCCGCACAAGGAAATAAAAACTCCTGCTGACAGTGTTAAAAGGAAGCACACTCATGTCTTCAAGGATATAGTAGAGAGCCAGGTATCCTGAATAACGTTATCGGTAATAAGTTAAACTGTATATCACTTCCGCAGTTTGCCATCATAGCCATACTGAAACTGAACGAATCCCTACAGGCAATTTAGTTCAATCAACATGAATATTTGCAGGCTGAGTCAAGCTGTTCAAAATCTAATGACTCTGATATCGAATCAGTGACCAAACGGATCCGAACTGCGGAGTTAACATCACTCTCTAAAGAGCAGCGGGAGTATGTACAGGCGTTGGCTGGCGTTGACTGTAAGAAACGAATTGATGCTCTTCATGTTGCTATGTTCAAAGCTGAATGTAAGTTGTTAAGAACGATACAAATTGTCATTATCATTACAACTTAGCGGGTGGAAAAGTTAATTCTTAGTGTGCAATAGATTTCATCGCAATAAATTAAATGCTGACTCAATTTTTAGCTAACACGGGGACAGCCAATGTACGAAACAACCTGCGGCCACTGCTAAAAAAATATGATATAAAAATGGAATCAGAGAAGGAAATCAAGTCAATGGAAGAATTATACACCGTGAGTGCTCAGTTGAACTCAAAACCAATTATATATCATTTTGGTGTCATGGCGTACTAGCATATAGCATAGCACAACCCAGATTTTGAAATATAGAATATATTGTACATCAAAAATTAACATCATTCATGTTTTAAGGTGAACTATATGAGTGCAATGGTTTCTCTTTCCCATAAAGCTGCAGCACATGATAAAAATGAAACTAAAAGTGGTGAGCTGTTAGCAAGACGTACCCCAGTAGCCTACTGTGATGGACAGGAACTGCTAACCAAAACACTTATAACCTTGAAGAATACCGGTATTTCAAATTTCTAGAGATTATAGAGCTGTTTACAAAAAATTAATTTGATTTAAATAGGTCAAGGTGGGCAGTTCTTTTAGCGGTTTTTATCACATAGTTCATTAACAGCCAGCTGAATTCTATATATTCCAGGCCAGTTAGATGTGGGAACTGACAAAACTATACATGTTAAGCTGTTTGTAGACGCAGACACGAGCTCCACTAAAGTGGCAGTCAATGTGCTAAACCAGCCTTCGTGTAACAGCTCGTATGCCCACCCAATGCTGGTGTACACCGAAGCTCCGGACCATCGCAGGAACATGGAGGTCATATTTAAGGTATTTCTTCATGAAATCTAGACTTCAACTTGAGCTTATGTTCGTAATGACGAAGACCGAGTTGTGAAAAAGTGCGAGCTAGCAACACGGAAATACCTGTTGAAAGTGAAATCCAAGCTGTGTGACTGAAATGGGTCAATCATGATGGATTTAGTGTTTGGGACAATCTGCTATATGCCTAAAATTGAAAGATTGTTAATTTGGTGATGCTTCACCCTCTGTTCATATTTTCTACTTGATCAATAATGATATTCGCCACATATTATGTAAAACGCCGCTTATGTTTTGCCATTAAAATTTTTTCGTTATAGTAGTGACTGCGACTGAAACCGCGCATCACGCAAGTTTTTGTCGCCGCGCGAGGGTGATTCAATTTTGTCCACTTCGCCATAATTCTCAGAGGATGTAATTTGACGAGTGCGGGACAATTTTGAGCGCAAGGAATCACTTGAATCGAAGATAACGATTGAGCTGACAATTTCTCCGGTAAAAATTAGACCTTAGATAACTGAATTGGGATGACATCGGAAATAACTCTGATGCGAGCAGGAATACACTATGTCATACTCATAGCAGTAATACTTAGACGTGAATATTAATATCCGATGGATCAAATTAGTGTATATGTTATCATTATTATATATATAAAGTGTGCCTCACTGGGGCACCCTTAAGTAACAGTTCCAGCTCGATAGGCCTCGTAACCGGGATGGATAGAGACAAACGAAATACATCATCTCGTCACAAGCAATCAGATCTAAGTTAAACGATAAGGCCAGGACATACTATGAGCATTGAATTAACTGTCAAAATGGTAACCTGAGCCCTAGAGGTGATCACATGCTATAAGCCTAACGGAAAAGTATTCTAAAAATATAAATCTAATCGTTAAGTTAAACACATTTGAAAGCGGCTGTCAGATAATATAAACGGTTCGGGATGATGGCTGTCGAGGTTCGGGCATGACGCGCCCGGCCGCACAATAAGCGGTGACTAGGGAAGTCACAACAAAAAGTCCCCTCTCAGTCTAATCTGAGCTCTCGATATTTTGGAAGAATTCTGGATTCTAGCTAGAAATAGGTAAATTAGTCAACGAACATGAGATGAATCATATATTAACTTAAAGATGAAAACCCGCTAATCAACGTTGACCAAAATTAAATTATGTGGGCTTACAATTGAATCATATAGAGTAACTATTTGATCATTTGACGTAGCCATTTTGTCAACGCAGCATTTTGTCAATTTGTCAACTCTAAATATTCGACTGCTGTTAATCTTTTAACTTTAATTATAAACTTATGTTACCACTGAAAATCTGAAATGGCTCCAGTAGATCTGTAGATGTGGCAGCTAGGTTCTCGTTATATACTGCGATAATCGCAAATTGAGGCGACAATCGCACGATAATCGCATAATGAGGCGATTATCGCACAAGGGGGGGCGATAATCGCAAAATGAGGCGATAACCGCGCGATAATCGCAAAATGAGGCGATAATCGCACAAGGAGTCGATTATCGCGCGATAATCGCGAGGGAGTGCGATTATCGCTGCAAAAATAAAATCTGCGAAATGGCCAACATTTTCCACTGTGAGTTAGTTTTAGCGCGCAAAGCCGCGCAGATTGCGCGTCAACTTTCCATACACATTTTGAAGAATTTCATCAGTTTTCATAGCAACCAACAGTGTTACAAGATTTGTCGACGGGCATGGCAACGCCAAACGGATTCAAAGCTCACTAATCACTAACACTGTCTTTTCTTTCATAAACATTAATAAAGTAGCTAGAAAACATTTTCCTCGCTGAGTTAAGGTTTCTTAGATGTCAAGTTTAGACTATATTTTGTCTTGGACCAATAGTTCAAATGTCGATATTTATGAAACTTAGTGCGAGTGGCGACCGCCGACCGCAAGCTTTAAAAACAGTGTTCGGCCGTCGGAGTCATAGAAAAAGTGGTAAAAAGTTTAATATTATTCGTAACCAATCATGACATTACCATCGATTGCCTTCATTACCCGGTATGCCTAAACGAAATTTCGGGACTTTTTCGAAGTTTATTAACGATCTTAACTCTGAATTAATTGAAGTCTTCAGATATACAACCAATCAGACTTACCGATATAACGAGCACCATTTTTAAATCGATATGTTCCCTTGCCGTGCCTCATGCCATGCTGGTATTCTCCCTCATATGTGTCTCCATTTGGTAGTACGGCCTTTCCTCGTCCGTGTCTGCCGAACGATTTTAGGTGAAAACATAATCACACTGTCCTTAATGAGAAGTATGATGACAACAAAAATGTAGAAATCGTTAAAGCAAAGGGCTAAGATTTGGTCTAGAAATCCTGAGATGGTCTTGAAAATGAGAAAAACCGTCAAATTGGTTCCCCCCCCCCCCCCCCCCTCTCTCTCTCTCTCTACCACAACGTGACATAGTGGACAAATTCTCACTCCACAGTCCACAGGATTATCGGCTAAATTTTAAAAACGAAACATTTCACCAACAATTGTGGAAAAACCATACAATGTTTCATTCCACATACTAAATTACAAGGGCTTCAATAGGGCTTCAATACTCATTTAGTGGTCACCCTGACGGCTGACCACAGCCCTTATGTGGCAAGTTTGCTCCCCGATCTATTATTCTATTATTATAAACTCACCTCTCATCGGCCTCATTTCTATCTCCCTCGTATGTTCCTAAGTTGGTTCCCTCTTCGGGAAATTCTTCGCTTCCATCGTCAGACATTTTGGCTACTACAAACACAATAAATCAAGTCAAGCAGAAGTTGTTATAAATAACAATAACAATTTAATAACTGCTACTAGTAACTGTACTGTAATCTGTAAAACAGTAGAAATAATCAAATAGACTAAACAACTAAACAGTGCTTAAAGTTATGTTTCGTTTACTAGTAGAGATGTTACCTATGTAAAGCTATGTTATACAAGTTACTATATCTGTTGCACAGTTGCATGCAAGGCAAAGTCGTCGAGTGAAAACAGTTAATCTGTATTCTGCAACTACTAGTTAATAAACATGATCGACATGCATGCAGTCCGAGATGATGTGTTCTAATATAAAACTAACTGACAAGCAATAAGTGATGTGAACATCCTGTGTAAATTCGGTTTACAAAGATAAACAGATAAACATTTGTATCTAATAATGAAAGAAAATTATAGATTACGATTATCAGAGTGGATAGTTTAGAGTTAGTTTTCAGCAGGTATGCCATGGCTCCACTGCAGGGGTGCACCCCCCCCCCCCCCCCCCTCCCCGGTTGAAAACCAAAATTGGGGAAATCATTTCAAAAGGAAGTTTGTGTGGGATATATTTTAATTTCTAGTTGATTGATTTTAAAAATTGATTTGAATCTGGAATTATTCGACTCTAAATCATTGACTTCTAAAGATATTAATCCAGTGTGAACGTAGCACTGCCAATTGAACACATACATTTCGATGAATAGGGTGAAAACTCCAAAAAAGCAGACTATCTGATGAGAGAACCAGTTTTTTGACCCTTCTGAGCCATGAAAAGAAGCTCACAAAGGCAATGGACATTAACACTATCATCGACATGTTTACTTAGACAAAGCGCTGAGTTGTTCTGAAGTGAATCATGGGAATTAATTTCTGTATGATTGTGCTAATTGTTTTAATTTTATCTGCTATTGTATTGTATTTTATTGCCCTCTGCAAGTCAATTTGGACACTTTCAGACAAGGTTTTGAGGGGTAAATTTCAAAAAACTTTTCGGGGGGCTGCCCCCATAGTTGGCAAATCCGGGACTCCTCTCACATTAGACACCACAAAAGTTTCAGTAAGTATGGATTAGACAATAATGGCTTTTAGTATTATGATTTAATATATTTCTGGCGTGCTAGAACCAATACAACAGATGGATCTAGACTCGACATACCCGCTCATGAACTACAGTCAGCATTTGAGCGCACTATCTTTGAACACACTTTCTTTTTGAAACTAAGCGTTTTGCGATGGTAACACATTATTTTTTAAATGAAATCACCTAATTAGTTCAATTTAACCTTCCTGTTTCTGAAAGGGAAACTAGGGGATGCACGGGGTAGATAAATGTCAGTTAGTGACAGTTAATGTCAGTTAATGTCATATATAGATGTCATTAACTGACATAGATTTCAATGTCAGTTTTGGCTCTTTCTCAAATAACTGACATTTACTGACGTTGGACATTTACTGAGGTGGTACTAAGGGCACAGGGGGAGCCAACATGAAACATTACACCACTGGGCTCAGGACTAAGCTGCACCAAGGTCATAAAGCAGGTAGCAGCCAATATATTGCAGTCGGAAAAAAGAGGGGAGCAATATGCTCATGTGATGGGCTTTATAAGAACAAGACTTCGCTTTGCTCTATACTACTTTGGAGTGTTCTCACAGTCATTTGAGGTGTCAGGGGAAACCTGTTATTGAAGCTCATGTTGGGTTCATCCCATTCAACCTTAATCTTGGTATTACACTTACATCGATATTTACTTAGGAACACGACAGTGAAAATTTAAATAATTTTGATAATAATGGATCGTTTCTGTTACCTGAGCTTTGCTGTGTACTCTGCTTCTGCAATTGCAATGCATGTTTGTTTGTTTGTTTGGGGACTGGTTTGTAAGCCAGCCAATGTTTACGAATATAATATTAATAACTTTATTACATAATCATAAATATATATCATAAATAGATCAAATCTGAAACACAAATTTGCACGCAGTTAATAAATTTATTAAAAAAAAAAAAAAAAATGAAAATGAAAAAAAAAAGGTTTATTGATAAAACAAAATATGGAGCACTCTGTGCTTCCAACAGCCTTTCAGACTCGCGCTAAGTTTGTTAGGGACTGATTTAGGATATCGTAGATATTGCTATGCCATGTCATTAGTTTGGATATGTAGTGTTTGTGATTGTTGAAATCAATTAATTACGGTTTGTGCTGATAGGAAAATAGTGATAGTGGGGAATGTGGCAGTGTAAATATGGACCTGGAATTTAGGATGTGTGGCTTATCCATTAATATTAGTTGCCGCTAGTCTGTGATCAGTTTGTTCTGGTTTTTTTGTGTGCAAATGTATATTCATAGTTTATTTTTTTAATATCATATAATATATAGTACTTAATAATAACCATATGACTAATAACTGATTTACTAATTAACTAATTAACTAATTCACTAAACTGATATAATGACCGTTGTGTCCAGTAACTTTCAGACACGTTGTGACCTTCTTAGACCTGGAATATTATGTAATAAGAAACTGGGCCACGTGTCATCGTCATTTTCACTCTGCAGGTTCAAGAGCATGCGTTTTGTAGCCGATTTAAAAAGGTTTATGGAAAAAAGTGTGGGTAGGGTGCTTACATTTGCATTTACAGCATGGTCTTTAAATATTTATTTTTTACTTTTGAAATTTATTTCTGGCTAAACCAATTGGATGGAATTGGTCTAAGGATCGTGTTTGCCGTTTACAAAGAGATGAAGAAAAATTCAACGTTTTGGCCTAACAGCCCAGTTCCACAGCCCAGTTTTGCGACCAGATTTGACACAAAACTCCGCGAAAAGAGTTTTGAAAGGCAAAACTCCGCGAAGGCAGTTTTGTTTACAATGTACGTTCCCATGCGGTTGGTATTTGCACGCAGATTTGCGAGCGCACGTGGGCGCATTATAATGAAATTAGCGCCCAGGTTAAAACTGCTTTCACGGAGTTTTGGGTCATATCAAAAATATTTCTCCGTGCGGAGAAATATTTTTGAATTTCATTTCCGGTCGCAAAAATGTGAGAAAAAATTTGAGCAAATCTGGTTGCAAAACTGAGCCGTGGAACTGCAGGGTAATACAATACCTTAAGGCTAATAAATTTGGTTACAACAATTTTGGTTACCATAATTTAAGTGACAAATTTCACAAATATTTTAGTCTACAGCAATTTTAGTCACATTTTTCGACTTTTCGAGACCGTTTTCCATTCCATTTATTTGATTTTTCCATAAGCAGTGGTTTTAAAGACTAAATTCTAGAAGGGGTCGTTTCACTTAATTACTTCAATGAGTTAAACTCCATGCAGATATTGCCTTATGGGAAAATAAAAGGAAGAAAGATAATGTGAAGCATAAAAGCAGCGAATTACACGTGTAATTGTCAAAGCAGTTCAGCAGTAGGAACGGTGATGTCATTATATCATATATTAATTATAAACAAAGTAAGCTCAATAATATTCATGTCATATATGCTCTACTGAAATTTTGGTCTGATTTTAAATTAATCTCCGAAAAATTAGCAATAAATTTTGTTTACAACAATTTTAGTCAAATTTTATGGTAGACTAAAATTGTCGTTCTTAAGGTACTAGGTAGGTCGGGTAGGTCGGGTAGGTCGGGTAGGTCATTGAATATTTCAGATAAATTTATTGAGTTATTTATTGAGTATCACTAATAATGTGAGCGACACCACAATTTGGCATAAATCATAATGTATGGTTTTACAGGGCACCTATTAAGAATTGGCAGTTAGAGCTTCCACCTTCTGCCCAGAAGGTCCAGGGTTCGAATCCCAGAGTCACCCAGCTAAGAATCCATTGCATAAGACCTATGCGAGTAATGTCTCCTTGGTCGACTAAGACAAATGATCAGAAAACATGATTGAGGGTTAAATGAAGATCAATGATCTTTTCAAGCTCAGTATGTCTACTGTTACTGGGCGGCGCTCAGCGTGTCATTCCGCCTAATCTCTATTTGTTTATTTCTACCTAATCTCTATACTATATGTTTACGAACATTATAGCCTCGGGTCCCCAGGTAAATCTACTGTACATTGTAGTGTACTTGTCAAATTTACCTTTTGTAAAGTATGTTTAATAATAATAATAATTCTATACAGTTACATAATTGAAACAATTATGGCCCCTTATTGTGGGCAGAGTATGTGTCTTTGTTGAAGTGTCCTGACTCCTGATATAAACTTTCCTGAGTGACTGCATTAAAATAATTTAAGGAGAGTTCTCTTTAAACTTTAAGACAATAGGAATAAATACTAGGACCTAATAAAATCAAAACAAAATGCAGCCACCTAATTTGTTGTTAAGCTTTCTCTTCTCCTACGGTTGACTAGAGGAACCATCTTTTTTTTTACTACACTTATAAATATCACTGGCTTTACCTTTTCGAACTCGCTTATGATTTTCAATATTTCGTTCGAGGAGCAATCTTCTAGCCTAATATTTTTTGTTTCTAAGAAGAATTACGTGAGTCATTAAAGGGTTGCGTGTGGGCAGTTACTTCTGGTCTACCCTGTAGGAGAACGAGGAATAAAAAGTGGTGGTATAGTTAAAATATCAGATTTAGATATTAATTTAGAGCCAACAAATTAAATTGGGACCCCAGGCTATTATTAAAATAAAGATTCGGCGGAATTACAGGCTGAGCGCCGCCCAGTAAAATTGGACCACGTACCACGTAATACGATTTAGCCAATCAGATCGAACAAGAATCCGCACAGTTAAAACTGCGCACTTTTAAAAGGCCCAAAATAAGACGTTTTGCGATAATTCAAAATTTGTCTTGATTCCCCCCTGGGGGTGGAAACGTTATTTTTACAAGGCCAACATTTTGTTGAAAACCAGACGTTTCTATCTCTTTTATTTTCGAAGTTATGCCCCTACCAGTAAGGTTTCTTGGGTATAATTCAAAATTCCCTGGGTCATGACTTTAATTACAGATCAAAAATGATTAAAATTTATCTAGCTGGTTAGTTTATTGCTTTTGATATGAAAAATGGTACTCGTCTAAATTTCCTCTCAGTAGCGCGCGCCGCTTTCTTCTCGAAATATTGACCCGAGGCAAGTGCTACGAAGTTGTGCGCGCTGGGTCAGTCCATAACTTGTAATAGACAAAGATAAAAATAAAGTTGTATCACGTCGTGACTTGTAGGTTTATAACAAGGACGCGCGCGCCGAGTTGAAACAAATATATTACGAGTATCACCCGTGGATGATGATTAATCACTCTACACTCGACTGTCACGTGACTTTTTCAACCCGTTCTCTAGCTGGTTCTGAACGACTTTTCGAAACCCTAACCCTCTAATCTGATCCCAACCCTAACCCTAACCTAATCCTTAACAAAAACATATACTGAAACCCTAACCCTAACGCGAAATTAGACTAAATTCCTTATACGGTCATATCACGTGATCGAGACAGTTTTTCGCCAATATCTCGTCAGGGGAGCATTTTAACCTTATGTCATGGGGGGTGATTCGGAATCAGCGTCCGAAAATACATCGATTGAAGTTGGTTACAACCGTCGGGGGCCCTTTTAGAACAATCTCGAAGATCGACTGTAGAGTGATTTAGCACGCTCGATCACCCGTTAAGTCGAGACCCCCTGTTTTTCTCTAACCAGAGTCCTCTCGCTTGCAGTAGCGTGCGACCGCCGAACGGTTCACCTAACCGAGAGCCCTACTTATACTTATGCAAAGGCTTTTCTCGTCGTTACAGTACCACAAAACTTAGAATCAGCGCACATGATCTCCATATTGAAAGAGGCAGATACTCCAACACACCCCGTGAGCAAAGACTATGTGGTTGGTGCCAATCAAGTATGGGCGTTGAGACCATCGAAGACGAGTCGCATGTTCTTTACATATGTGACTTGTATTCAAAACAGAGGTCGAAATTAGTCAAAAATCTTTCTCAAATGCCAATCATTGAAATAAGCAATGAAATCACCGACTCCAGCAATATCAATGAAACAAATCTCAAAGATCATCTCATGGAAATTTTGTCTCCTTACTCAACTGTAATTCCTCAAAATCACCAAAGCCTCCATATTCACTGCCACCGCTCACTTGATATTCAACCAAACACCCCACAGTATACTCAATTTCAAGAAAGGCTCTCCTATGCTGTCAACTGTGTGTGCACTTTTTTCCTTCGCTGCTCCGAAGAGCGAAATAGCTTCACCGAAGATACGCGTCAGCGTAATTCAAATGCACGAAACTTAAACAATTTTACTATCAATTTGGTGAGAACCTCGCGAATTAGTCATAATTAAGACTCAAGGATAACCCTGGCCTCTGACTTCAAGCAAAGATGATTGTTTTCATTAACTTCTGTAAACAATTATGACGGTCCATGATAATGGATCTATAATTTAATTTTAATCCTGTGTAATCCTGTGTAAATCCTGTGTAATCCTGTGTAATCCTAACCATTGACCATCAACCATGTTGCATGTGCTTTTCACCTAACCATGTGCTTTCGCGCCACTGCGGGCGCGCTTGTTTCACAAGTCAAGTTTTACCGCCGTGAGGCGGGTGCGCGCTACTGCAAGCGCAAGGGCTCTGGATAGAGCAACATGTGCTTCACAGGGGGCTGGAACTAGGTTTCCGATCAAACGCTGCCATTTGTAGTAAAACGTCGCCAAAAGCAATTAAATTTAAGCTCATGATACAGTTGCTCTCGTCCAATGAAATCGCTGCATTTTGAAATTCATTATGCATAATTGAATTACATATATTAGGTAGTGCGCCATCGACAGTGAGTCGCGCGTGCCGACCGTAGGGTGGTTTTTAGCGCTAATTTCGGCCAGCACAATTTTCTTCAAACAAATAGATATTGAGTATCCTTCCCAACCTCCGATTGCAACAAAAATTGGTAAGCTTACTCATAGACTAACAAGGAAAGTGTCCGATGATTTAAAGCATATTCAACGATCAGACATTATGTTACAGCTAAAATGTAAAAGCAGCGTATTTTGCCTCATTTTGATCACTATATCAAATCTGACATCCACCAAATTTTTCGGACAGTTGTGAAAGCCCTATCGGAAGGTCGTCGCCAATTTTAAGAATGATCTCATTCAAGGAACCGAAGATATATCCGAACAATACGACAAAAATCAACGAATTTGGTCAAATTACGCGACTTTTACAGCTAATTTTGCTCCAAAAGCCGCGCACCCACAAATATGGCACCTAGGCGAAACTCACTGATCTTTCCGAAAAGGTATGACAAATTTGGTATTGTGAAAATTCTCACAGTCTCTAGAAAACAATGGTACAGACATTTTTAAGTCCGAGCAAGTTTATTTTTATTGTGCACCCCCTACATATATTCGTATTACGAGACGCGCGCAGAGTTGGACTCGACGACGGTCTATACTAGGAACTAATATTTTACGAGATCACCCGTTCAACGTGTGAGAGATAAAGTGAACGGGTGCGCGCTTAACGGGTGATAGATTATAAACCTACAAGTGTTCCCCAGGTAAAATAAAAAGACATTCGTGGAACAAACTTAAACTCTGTTTTAGGTCTAAAATTAACAGTTTTACTAATATCGTAAATACATGGATATAATTTGTAATTGTGTTTCAAGTACAAAAGTCAGCTTGGATAAGTAGTTCCTCTTCGACTTAATGGTAAAACCTGCACGCAGCAGTAGAATAAACTTGTCGAAATATATTCACACTTGTTCTCAGCCATATTAATCACACAGCAATAGTTAGAATGAACAAATATAAAACGTATCTTGAATAATAAAACAAAATATTTGAAATCAAGCCGGTTAAATAATAAAAATGTGATCGATCAGTTCATTTGAGCGATGCTGAAACGCAAGATTTTCAGAGCACCGGCAGTTGGTGGTCAACTCAAAGATCTGATCTCCTTTAGATCTACCATCTGTAACTGGAACTGTATGTTCCTGAAAAGTTAACTGTGTTACCTACCTTGGTAACGTAAACAATTGGTAACTGGGTAACACTCTACTGGTACAGAGTTACGGGTAACAAGGAGGCCAGGTTATATTTGACGGATGTAGTGATACTCGTCTGAATTTCTTCGAAGTAGCGCGCCTTCTTCTCGAAATATTAGAACCAGACGAAATATTAGAACCAGGCGAAATATTAGAGACAGGAGTAGTGGAACCGGGCAAAGCTTTGTCATCTGCGAAGTATCGCGCGGCTCAATCCATTAACGATGGAAAACATTATACAGGTTATAAAATATATATAGGTTATATAGGTTATAAAATATATATAGGTTATATAGGTTATATAATATATATTTAAACTTATATATACGTTATAGATTAACCGGTACCTTGGTAAGGTTTACTCTGCTGGTACGGGTCGCTGAAGGTGGTTGAGTAGGGGTCCTGATAAGGATCTTCAGCAGGAGCACTGTCTGAATACCCCACGTAGTCCTCTGGTTTGGACTGCAGTTCAAGGTTCACTTTCACACCAGCTGGAGGTTATGCAAATTAAAGCTTCTTAAATTCTGTCCTAGGCATGGATCAACTTTATTAGACAAAATCGTTATCAATTCACAGCCCAAATTTTACCAGATAACCGACCACTTTTGTCCACTAACCAAGCATGGTCTTGTCCTTCAACATAGCCCTCATAGCGTCCCCGTGGCTATGAAACTCCACCACTGCTTCCCCGAACTTCATTTCCACATTTTTAGGCGGATTAGATTCCGTGAAGAATTTGATAACATCCCCCATGGAAACATCCATTGAGACCCCCTTTACCACAACTATGTGCTTTTTTGGAAGACCGGCAGCCCTAGTCCCTCCTGCCCCCGCTGAATAATCCCTGCAATAGTTCAACCTTTAACTCCCTATACAATTTCCACAATGAACCGCATTTAAATCCCTATAATCATATAATCCCTATATTATAACACTTTAACAATTAATACTGCTTTCCCTGTGTATCCCCTGAAATTGTTATACTTTATAGTAACCGCATTAGTCACCAAAACTCCCTATTTTGTTACCGCAACAGTGACCAAATTATACTTCCTGTTATATAACCACTTCGTTACCAAGTACTCCCTGTCAACTAATTTATCTTCCCAAGTTTTCAGTTTTGAAACTTATGTTTAATTTTAGCTTGAAAGATTATTTTAACATTAGCAATACCAATGTGAATGAATACTTAAAAACAAGTTTTACAGTTTTGGAAGAACAAGGTTCTAGTAAATGTTAACAATACTGAACAGTTGTAGTAGGAACACTCACTGGACTGCGAATCCCTCAGATCCATCGTATCCTCCATAAGCTGAAAATAAATTGTTTAATTTAGAATTAGGGGATTACTCACAGTCAAAAACTTCACTAACAATGAATTAAGGTAATATTTGACAGTGCTCTCTAAATTACAAAACTAGTATTATAACGGTACTCACGCGAGGATCTGCGGTCATGTGACATGTGTTTAATTCGGCCGCCCCGTGGAGGAGGCGCATAACCTCCAGCACCTCCTCTAGGTGGTTTAGAGTAGGGACCGGGACGAGGTCTACCTCTGGGGGGAGGGGCGTGTCTTGCTTCCTCCGCATGCGGCCCTCCTCTCTCCATAGGCACTCCTTCTTGGGCGTACCAGTACTTTCTGTTGGACTGGAATATTTCTATATACCTGCGGTAAAAGACATATGTTAAAGTAATAAATTAGATAAATATGCGACGTTAAAGTCTCAAATCTTCAGATTCAACCATGCTCCCCCTCCTTAACATTGCACACCAACCTGTTGCTCATCTTCTCGCCAAACTTAGCCATTGCAGCCTCGCTGTCTTTAACAGAACCAAACTGCACAAAACATTTGCCCATTGGTCGCACTCCATCTGTGTCGTACACCATCTTTTGGTAAGATATTGTTACTAACAAGTTGATTAATAAATCATATAACCTTTTTAGTATGTATTATTATTTTGATCTTGAAAAATGTCAAAAAAATGTTCTTTTAACTCTAATCATTTTAAATCCATGTAAAGTTTGGAAAGGAAAGACTGACCTGTAGATCTGCAATCTCCAGTCCGGAGAAGAAGCTACAAACATCCTCCTCGGTTGCAGAAAAAGGCAGTCCTCTGCACAATACTACTGGCTCTCTCATTTCTAGACGAGGAAAGGGTTAGTTGTAATACACCTCCCAACAATTAACCAAGTATATTATTAACTATACTGTACTACTTAGCTAACGTTTAGAATTCTTCACAAAACTTTGACATGTTGTCTGCTGAGTAAACTTACTGGACACTGTGTGTGACAATGAGCGTAACACTGAGCGTAACACTGTGTGTGACACTGAGTGTGACACTTTGTGTAAAACTCAGTGTAACACTGTGTGTGACACTGTGTGTTACACTGAGTGTAACACTGTGTGTAACACACAGTGTGACACTCAGTGTGACACTGTGTGTTACACTGTGTGTTACACTGATTGCTACATGTAAACTTACTGGAGACCGTGTTTGACTTCTCCGTGAACCTGGACATCTCATCTTTAGAGGACCTGCTTACCTCTAGGTACCTCTTACCCATGTGCTCTCTGTTTTTACCCAAACCTTGGTTCAAACTCTCTATATCTCCGAACTCTATAAACGCTTGCCCAGTTAGGCGTCCTGTAATGAGTTATAGAACTTAGTGAGTAATTAACATTACTTGCAACTAATTAATTAATTATTACAGTAAACCAATGTACAATATTGACTGCTCATCAATCATAATTACACTAAGCCACTTTATTGACTGTTCATAATGCTCTAACTATAATTAATTAATCTCCCACCTTCAGAGTTACGGAGAATGTGTATTGAAGACTCTTTATCATCCTTTAAGTTGCACCCGCCGAAAAAGCTCTCAATATCCTCCGTATTTGAGGACCAAGGTAAACCCCTCACTTTAATAACAAACTCGCCCTTATCGTCCAACTTCTCTGTAATTCATTTCATAATTTAAACTAAGTTAGTTTTAATTAGGGGCTAATAAATCGTATATTTTGATATTGTCCTGTGACTACTCTAGTTGGGTAACTATTCTAGTTGACTACTCTAGTTGATTACTCACGCTGAATCTGGTCACACTTGCTGATGTCGTTAACCATAGCCTCGTTACTAGCTTCTGTAACACTGACCCACCTCTCCCCCATATACTGGTGGTCTTTACGGATAGCTGCCTCCACGTCTTCTTTACAGGTCAGTTCCACGTAGCACTCACCACTCACCCGACCTAAAAACAGATGTGTGAACAAGGAATACCACGTACCTGAGTCATCCTTAGTGATCTGGAATACCACGTACCTGAGTCATCCTTAGTGATGTGGAATACCACGTACCTGAGTCATCCTTAGTGATGTGTACCCCGTTCTTCCTCCCTCCCTTGATATCCAGCCCAGCCAGGAACTTGGCTACATCCTCACAAGATGCGGAGAAGGGCATCCCCGACATCTTCACAATGAACTGGGCATCAGAGCCGTCCTCCATGGTTAGCTAAAGGTTTAAGAAAGAGTAATGTTCAGTAAAACATAAGTTGGGACGGTTGAAAAAATAGGTATTTAATTAGTCGTGCATGAAGAAGCGACCATTACTGGTCACTAACAAGTCTGAAAAGTAACCATTACAGATCATTAACAAGAGAAGTAAGCGATTATATTTATTTTCAAACGGATTATCACTGTTTTTGAATAATGAAACGAAGTCTTGTAACAATTGGTTGAATGAAAATAATTCTTTAAAAATCTTTGTTGTTCATATAAAATCAAATTTAGCAAATTACTCATAAACAGAAACAATAACAACATTATTCGTGCTAAAAGAGTGAACAATTAAACTAATTACCTTATAAATTTGATCCTAGCGGAAAATACAAAGAATGATCAGAAAAAAGTCTAACAGAAAAGTTAAAAACATGCAACTAGATACATGACAAAACATGCAGCTCAGATATCATCAACAATCACAAATTGTTTTGCTGAGTTTAATTCCATATAATTTGGAAACGTCCAAATAAATTAGAGTCTGATATTGGTGGCACGAAATTCTAGAATTATTGAGTTTAATTATCAAAATAAATGAGACAACTTTTAATGTTATTTTACCACAATGTCACATTTCTCATGCCACCAAAATACCGAATCATTTAAATGCTAAAACAAGGCTCAAAAATAAACATAACGTAACTAAATGACAATTCATCTCAGAAACAAGAGTTTAAGTTTGTCCAGCATTACCGTTATTCGAAGTCGCAAGTTCAACAGAAAAATTCCTAGAAAGAGAATGAAGGAAGGAACGTCCCCGTTCTTTTAAATTCTCCAATTTATCTGAGAAGGAGAACTCTCCCTCCTCCTGATCAGGAAGTACAGGAGACAGCTGTCTCAGCATCAACTTCTGCTCCTCTTCCAATTCAGACATAACGAACATCTTCTCTCTGAACTCTGCTATGTCACTGAGGGGCAGCTGAAACGCCATCATATTCGTAATAAAAGAGCTCATCTGCCCGAAGAAAGTGTTTTTGTGCACCTCAGCCGCCTCCACACGCTGTTCCTGAGTCTGTTCGCTGAAACACCTGTTGTGGGAGGACCGCAGTTTCCTCTCCGAGTGGACCGCGTGAAGAAAAGCAGCATTCCAGAAACGCATGCTGCTCCAAATGGGCACACTCATGAGCTCTTGGTAAAGGAAACGACCCTCACACTGGTAGGTGAATGCGAGGATCATGAGTACTTTAGCAGACTCGATGTCATCCTCCTGCTCGCAGATATGGAGAATAGTGGCGAAGTTAGCTGCTAGCTGGAGGAACTTATTCTCACACAGCAACATGTTGGCAGAGCGTGCTTTAGTGACCTGTCTGGAGAACTCCCGCCGTCCGCACTCCTGCAAACACAACGCGTTATACTGCTCCCTCAACGAGCTAAAGGGGGATATAGTTACGGAGGTGTCCAGTATTGTTTCTACGTAAGTTTTCATGAACTCAGCACAGGAGCGAGGGTCGACACATGTACAGGAGTCAGCGAAGCGGCCATTGCCGTTAGAGGCTGTCATTCCTTACATTCCTGAATATTTTATTAAATGTTATTTTCACATTTTTTTCACAAATTAATTTGAGCTTATTTTACAGACAATAGATGTGGATACTGGTAGTGGTGAACCATATTCACTTTGAAATGTGGTAGTTGTTGTGGATTTTGAATGGTAAATACTAGTATCCAAATCTATTATTCTGTCATTCAGAGCGAAGAAGATGTTACACACAGATAACGAAAAGAAGATGTTACACAGAATTAATGAAAAGAAATGTGCTCATAAAAAAAATAATGCTCGTATGTATAATGTACAAAAAGCAAAACAAATGCGAATTTCAAATTTCATTCTCTGGCAAACATGTAAAGTTACATAATATAAAATATAAAATAAAAACCTCTAGATTCCTGCCGCTACTGGTCATGCGAAGTGAAAATACTTAACAGCTAGCATATGCATTCCAACATCAACTTTTATAAAAGGTACTATAAATAGTACACAATTGTAAACTAAACCTACGGTTAAACGTTCTCCAAACTTGTCATTTCAAATCTTGGGTTTCCTGTTGAGACATAGGCTCTTCTTTCTCATCTTGTTGACTTGATGCTGTGAACTGTTCTTGACTCATAGGCTCAGACTTTTCTTGACTCATAGGCGCAGATTGTTCTTTGCTCGTAGACTCAGACACATCTTCACATTTCGCTGCATTGTCGATTTCTTCAATTGCCTCATTTACCTCTGCATTGTCGATTTCATCAATTGCCTCATTTACCTCTGCAGTAATATCCTCTCCTTCAGAACACCTTGCTGGTTCCTCTTCTTTGTCCCCCTCTCCTTCCTCTACTTTACTATCCACCACTGAAACTCCCTCTTCTTTCTTCTCCTCACCTTTATTTTCAACCTTAGCTTTTAAACCAAGAGGAAAGAATGCTGGCAAAAATTCGTGGTAAGCTTCTATATCTTGTTTGGTGAACAAGCAAAATATAACGGCGTCAACCTGAAAATGAGGATAAAAGTAAAAGCGTGACACAAGTAATATTAAAGATATCAATAAACTTGCATCTGTGTTGTGTTTAACCTCCACAAGTCAGATAGTGGCAGACAAGGGTATGATAGAAATTTCTTGAGCGAATTGTTCATGTAATGACTACGTCATTCTGTATCAGTAACAACACGATTGAATTGAAACGCGATTACATCACAGATTCTACGCCCTACTTCATGAACCTGAATGCAAAATGAAAGCGGTATATTTCAGTGCGCGCGCAGCAAATGTTAAGTCTCTTCAACTTTCCTAGCAAAAGTTGCATAGCGACTGACGCACAAGAGGAATTTCAGAAAGCCGTATACCGATTTGGACCATTTTCGAATACTGTTTTAGAGTAAGCTTGATTATAAAACAGTTTTATGAAGAGAGTTCAAATTATAAAGTGTTCTAAGCAAAGAATAAATAGCGTTCCTTCAAATTGCTTTAAAAGTAGTCATTATGAACCATCAAATCTAACTTACATGATCTAGATTGTTCTCAACAAAGTCTCGTGTTGTTTCAATCGCTACCTGAGCAGCAGCTCTATTTGGGTACCCGTAAACACCTGATAGAGACAAAACTTAGTGACTTTTTCTTGAGAATGAGATGTAAACTTTAAGATACATTTTACAGTCAAATGCTTGTATTCTGAGTAATAACTTGAGGTGATTCCTCAGAGAAGCAGATTTTTTAAGACGGATAAATGGGGCACCATTTTCAGTAAAGGGTTGATAAATCGAACGGAAAGAGCTGCGAGATTTCGCTGAGTACTCTATTAGATTAGGACAACATTATATAGCAACACTACTATATTGCGAAACTGTCGTAATTTATTGTTATTGCAGGTGCAATTTGTGCACTGTGTGACAATCAGTGTGACAATATCGTCCTGCCTGCTGTTTTCTGCGCAGTGATTTAATTTGTGATATTTATACTTTAAATGTTTTTACAATTTATATTATGATTAAAATAGAGTTACAAATTATCTTAATACTTGCATTAGTATTCTTCCATTATAAATTTAATACAATTATTTTTTTAAATAACATTTTCAGTGAGGTAAGGACTTTCAGTCCTGCGAGCTCAACGGATCATGGCTGACCTAAATATAGTATTATGCCTTGACCTAAATATAACAAAATATGAGCCAGTTCTTTCTTCTACCAAAATCTCCACACAAAACCCTGCATCGTAAAAACGGTTTATAGAAATCATCAGCCACAACTTACATTAAATACATACTATGTAAATTGTAAAACAAACTAAACAGTATCGGCACGTAGATAAAGAATGTGAACATAACAATATATAAAAGTTCATAAATTCTCATAACACAGTGTAACTACCTGTGACGATCGAGGGAAAAAAGAAAAACTTTGTTACACCAAAAGAAGCCCAAAACATCATGGGTATAACCAACAATTTGAACAGTGATGGTACAGTTACTAACAATAAGAGTACCTCTTCCCACTTCAAACCTGGTAAAGCTTATTTCTACCCCACTCTAAAGATCCACAAGCTTCAAAAGGAAGACCTTAAACCAGGAGTCGAGCCCCCCTTCAGGCTCATCACGGCACTTCAAGATGGAATCACAAAACGCAGTGATGTTTTCCTTGCTAGCCAATACCTGAAGGATCTTGAAAAGGATTTCTGCTCTGACCTTTTGACTGATAACACCGATGCCCTTCAATGGTTGGAATTCGTGGATAGTGAACATTCCCCAGTACAGAAGAAAGGCTTCAGATCGTTTACCTACGACTTTAAGGCCCTCTATGACTCTTTAACACCACCCCTCGTCATAGAGGCCTTGAGGTCCGCTATGTCATCATGTAGAGAAGATTGGTCTGAAGACTTCTGCCAGTGGCTCACACAACTGGTGGAATTAAGCCTCCGATCCTCTGTTGGGGTGTTCGATCAAAATTGGTTCATACAGCTCATTGGTATCCCTACGGGTGGATCACTATGTGTCCAAATCGCAAACATAGCAGTCTACTACCTAATGAACAAATGTGTTTATAGTAACCCAGAGCTCATGAAGAAGATCGTATCAGCCAGGCGTTACATTGACGACGGAGCAGGTTTGTTTGAGGGAACTACAGATGAGTTCAAAATTTGGATTGCAGATGTCAACAAAGCACTCCTCCCCCATGGCCTAATCATTGATGAGTACCAAATAGAAGATCCTGGTAAATACGTATCTTTCCTTGACATAATGTTCACTTTCGATTCCTTGGGCTCCCTCCAAACGGATTTGTTCATAAAGAAAACGGACTCTCGTTCATACCTACACTTTAAAAGCTCCCACCCAAACCATATCTATTCCGGTATCGTGTACTCTCAATGCCTTAGACTCAGAAGGATCATCAACTGCCAAGAACGCCTCAAAGGACACCTCGACAACCTCAAAAAAGCCTTCCTTGCTGCGTGTTACCCTAGGAAAATGGTTGAGAACATTAGTAATAAGGTGCTCAATTCAACAAGATCACTGTTACGCAAAGTTCAATCTCCTGATGACCAGACATCTTTACACCTTCCAATCAGGGTCATATCTACTTATGGTAGTGATGATGATTTGGTGTCTGTGACTAAGAAGTATGAAGAACACCTCTCAAGAACAAGGAGTTTCAGTGAAAGTGACACTGTTGAAACATCCCAAGAGACCTCCTCAACAGCTTCCACTCCTAGGAAGAAAATATTCAGTTACACCAAGAAAACAGGGCCAAGCCTAAAATCTCGCCTCGTCAAATTGAAAGAACTTGCTTTAGGAGCTAAACATGGTCCAACCAGCAAATGCCATATGCCAAGATGCAAATGCTGCGAACTTGTCAAAGGCAGCCATGAATTCAAAGTGAACGGCGAGAAGGTTAAAGCTTCCCCTGGAAACTGCCTGAGTTACAACATCATTTATCTGTTCCAATGTAGTTTCTGTAGAAAGGCTTACGTCGGTCGCACTACTCGCTCTCTACGGGTTAGAACTGGAGAACATAGGGTCAAATATTATAAACTTTTAAATGGTGATAAGGTAGATGAAACAAGTGATGAATATAGTTTGGGCTTACATTTGTTGGATCATGGTTTTAAACAAAGGGAGGATTTTAACAAAATTTTTAATGTTTCAATTATTGATAATTCTAGTCCTAAAACTTTAGAAGTTCGTGAACATAAATATATTCAACAACTCAAGACTTTAAAACCTTTGGGAATAAACACTATAAATCCTTTTGGCCTTCCGTTACTCCTAACATCTTAATTTTAATTATTATATAACCGTTTTAAGAGTGTTCAGATTTTTAAAGGAATTTTGGGTTTTACTAACTTTTTACAATTTTTAGGCTTATGTCACTGAAGATGACGCCTTGCAACATGTTTGACGATAGCCTGTAAATTGATAGTTTGATCTCAGTATTTACAACAAATCATCTAGCTTGATTGATTCAAAGGGAGAATTAAATTCCTCTCTAACTACCTGTGACACTGTGTTACACTCAGTGTAACTGCCTGTGACACTGTGTTACACTCAGTGTAACTGCCTGTGACACTGTGTTACACTCAGTGTAACTGTCTGTGACACTGTGTTACACTCAGTGTAACTGCCTGTGACACTGTGTTACACTCAGTGTTACTGCCTGTGACACTGTGTTACACTCAGTGTAACTGCCTGTGACACTGTGTTACACTCAGTGTAACTGCCTGTGACACTGTGTTACACTCAGTGTAACTGCCTGTGACACTGTGTTACACTCAGTGTAACTGCCTGTGACACTGTGTTACACTCAGTGTAACTGCCTGTGACACTGTGTTACACTCAGTGTAACTGCCTGTGACACTGTGTTACACTCAGTGTAACTGCCTGTGACACTGTGTTACACTCAGTGTAACTGCTTGTGACACTGTGTTACACTCAGTGTAACTGCCTGTGAAACTGAACCACAAATGGACACACCAAGATGACACTGGGTATCAAACATGCCTACACATTCACAAACCTTCACACTACACTCAATAACAAATACAGAATACAGAACTGCACCTTATCACGGCACACTGTGGTCTGAACAAACGTCTCCACACCATTTGCAAATCAAGCACCAGTGCATGTTCTATGTGCGGCGATGGAGAATATACCGTCCACACTTTCTTGGACAGTGCCCAGCTAGATCGCTAAACTTGGAGGGCAATACTTAATACTTTCGGGATTAACTTGATATTAAGGCCATATTAACTTGTCTTTTTGGCAGGGCCGGACTTAACACACTGAACAGACTAGGTATATAAAATAACGATAAGGAAACAATAGAAACCATAATAAAAGTATAAAGATAATATTAAAAATGTCAAGAACTCAAGAAATCGTTACCACAGCCATTGGATTTAATGTAGAAACAGTTTTTATTTGAAATTCTTTGCTCTTGCGTTTAAAAAAATAGTTGAAAGGAAGGATGTTTTGCCACTAAATTGTACAAACATTAACCAATACACGCGTAATCGGCGCATTTTGTAAAATTACTGTGATTCATTAATATCTGAATATCAGCTATATCATATTAAACATCTAGAATACCGTGCAGTGAGTAGATGCGTATAACTAGAAATACAAGTTCGTTTCCAATGTTTATCTGTGTTATGTACATATAATATGTGTAACGTATTGTAGTGTAATGTATTGAAGTGTAATGTATTGAAGTGTAATATCAAGCTGGCTGGTTCCATTTCCTTCTCTCCCCAACTAGGTGGACACAATACACCAGTTTTGTAACTAGTACGCTGTAATCACTAATTAATTATACTATACAGAGCTATACTCTTACGGCCTTCTTAAAGGAGAGATTTAATGTAGATACCAAGATGAAGCTTAGTTAACAAACATTTATCATATTTTTTAAATTTTGACAGAAACACTAAACAGTCACCATCTCTAAAGACAAATTCACAATTCCTTATTCAGCGAATAGAAATATAGTCAGGTAAGCTTTTACTTCCAAAACAAAGCAATATTCATATGATATCAGTGGAAATACAGGAAAAAGGAAAAAACTTTCAAATTAGTAAAAATATAAGGAAAAGGAAGTAATATTCATACCTGTAGAGATACAGGGAAAAGCGATGGATTTCAAACTGTTCTCCCTCATGAGCTGGAAACATTTGTTGTAAGAAGATTTGAGAACTTCTGGATTCTTCCCCCGCGGTCCAACCGTATGTATAATATGTTTTGAAGGCAGGTTGTGACCTGAAAGAGAGCTAAAGTAAACATATTGTGGACAGGATTATTGTACCGTATTGTGTAATGGGAGGGGGGAGGGGGGCACCAGGAAAAGAAAGGCATTATAATAGACACAGCACAGCATCTTCTCTGGTAACTGACCTTTAGTAATTTTGGCGTCCCCAGTACTACACCCGCCTAGTTTAGAACACTCAGTGCGGAGGCTGGGCCCCGCAGCGGCGTGTATTGCGCCGTCCACCCCGCCACCTCCTAATAAGGAGTTGTTAGCTGCGTTTACTATACTGTCTACTTGTAGACCTGTTATATCACCCAGGTAGATGTACAGTTTAGAGTTAACCGTCTCGGAGTGGGCTCGCTGCGGTGTCACTCCTCTCACGGCTCCTGTGTGCAGGTAGTTACGTTAATTGCATAATTATGTTAAATGAATAATTAACACAATTATACGCATTAAATATATTGACACACATTGCGATGACCTATCGATAAGTTAGGAGACACTATATAATGAAGCTAAATGTTAAGGTGCCAACATTTCGCAAGTGGAGTGTACTGAAATACAAGAGAACTAGACATTAATGGTTTGATCACTCAACATAGCATCATTATATTTCAATATTTTCGGTTAAAAGCCTGCTATATTTTTATACTTAATATCATAAAATTAAGCACAAAATATGACTAATACCACATTTATTCTTACAAACTTTGAGATCCATATAGTTGCCATGGGGATGTTTCAGATATAGGGACAGTAGGACGGGGACGTTTTCTCCGGTTAAAGAAGTTCATTTAGTACTGTACACTGTACACTGTACTAATCTTACATCTGTAAAATACGCATCAATTAATTTCCTCTTTAATTACATGTAACCAGCCAATAAACCGCACCCTTTTTTTAATTTGCGACATTAAATTTAAGGTATAACTAAATTTATTACAAATATTATAAATAAGAGAGGAAAACAGCAGCTTGTAACAAAGTATTCAAACAATCATTATATTTACAATCAATGTGCAATTAAAAAGATATATCAGTCTATGAATGCATCAAGATCACATGATCAACAAAAATCCAGTGTAATTTTAATGACAACCCCGTTAATGAGCACTTAAATTTGTGGAAACTTAAATCAATGACATTAGAAAAGTAAATGACAAGTTTATTAGGATTTAGAGGCTAGTGAGATGGTGAGTTATAGTTTTCATCCTAAATGCAATCGTATACCGGTAACATTTGGCTTCTTAAAGATACAAATTTTGAAATTTTTTTATTGTATCTTCTCTTAGACGTACATTTTCATAAAATACCTAACGATAATTATAGCACGATGACTGCCAACTTAAAATATATAAAACACTGAAATTAGTAATACAAACAGGTACTGGTACTGGTACTGGTCTACCCTTTGGGGCAACTAAGCTGATGACACTGATACTCTATAGCACTCTGAAAAAAGTCCCCACAATTATCACACGCCAGCTCTAGCATCTGCGGGTGCTTGAAACTCATGTGGAAATCTAACTTGGACTTGTCTTTGAACTTGCGAGAACAGTAAGGACAAGGAACACTGTTCGCGGCAATGTTTCGTTTTGAACCCACTGATGTAGTGCCCATGTCAGCAAAAATATCATTCGCAGGAGTTGACACAGACTTCTTGACTTTGGTGGTGACGGGAGTCTTTTTGGAGAAAGTCCGGACAGAAAGAACTGTTTTCTTTGGTTTTCTGGCAGGTTTGGAGAAAGTGCTGAGCATGTCCTGGAAGGGATCAAGAGGAGAAGGAACAGGGGGAGGAGGAAGTTTAACTGGTGGAGGAGGAGATTTGTCTACTTCATGACCTATAATACTGTTCAAAGGCGGGTCTAGCGGTTCCATCTCCTCCTCCTCCTCGTTATCTATCTGTGGTTCAGGGAAATAGCTCCTTGCTCCTAATTCTTTCTTCACATCAGTACTTGAAGCAGTGGCATACAAATCACCGAGTACATTATCTATCTCTTTCTCTGAAGAAGGAGGCAGTCCTCCTCCATTAATGTGATCAGATCCAGGGTTGAGAGCTCCGGAGTGTTGAGCTACCACTTCAAACAGTTCACTGTGACTCTGGTCCTTGTAAGTAACAGATGTGTCCATGAAGGCAGATTGGAGAGAGTTGGTAACAGTCTGACTTACTATGCTGTCTAACAAACCTGACATGTTCAGACTCGTATCCCCTGGTTTAGCAGCGTCAGTGAATATAAGGGCACCTAAATCTACTCCGGTAAAGCTGGTTTCAGGTTTAGTCTCAAGGTTTATAGCGGGTTCTGAGTGGTTACTATTTCCCCCTTGCAATGCTTCAGTCAGCTTACTTTCTAGATCTGAAAGTGATTCATCTGAATCAGATTCGTCTGAAGCAGATCGCATGGGCTTCATATAGCTAGCCAATGGAGATGGTTTCGGTGAAGGGATAGTAACCTTAGGTTCTGTTTTGGCTGTATCCTTGGATAGATCTCTACCCCTGTCAGAGGTCAAGGTGCCAGGATAGCTGTAAACTGTAAGTGGTGATGGAGAGACACTTCGTGGTCTAGGAGGTGATGGTGGGGGTGAGGGAGTGACAGGTTCGGCGAGCTCTCTTAAAGGAGACTTCCTGGGGAAAGCTTTCTTATCTTTAGGAATTATTAACTGAGGTAAGTCAAACTTAGCAGCAGGGATATCAGACAAGGGATCTCTTTTATCGTCGTAATCGTTTCTAGATGATACAGGGCTGAGGTCGACTGGTTTGTTAAAGTTCGTTTTGGGTGGAGAAATAGGAAGATCATATTTTATAGCTGACGACATGGTTTCTAAAGGAGCGGACGGCTTTGTTTCTAAAGGAACTGAAGGTTTTGAATCATCATCTTTTTTGATGGAACCAGACGGAATCAGTTCCTCAGGAGTGGGAGGGCTGGGAGGTGCAGAATCGAGCGGTTTCTCTGTCTTAACAGATTCATTGTACCGCTTCAACAAATCCTCAAAATCTAAGTCACCGTCACTACTACTGCTGCTTGAAAATCTAGTTTTCGTTTTAAAATTTGCACCATTGATACAAGACGGCTCCTTCTTATGAACAGTGGGTGAGAAAGTGTCCTCGTCTGAACTGGTCGTACAGTCTCTGTTAACTTTAATTCCAGATGTTAAGGTTTTAGGTTTTTCATCTTCTTGCTCTGACTCAGAGTCAGAAGAACTACAGTTGTCAGCAATATCTGCTAACGATACTTTAGAATTTCGTGCATCATACTCTTTATTGAATTCTTTCAATAAATCAGAGCACTGCAACTCATTTTCAAACATCCAAGTTTGCTTCCTGCACCCGCTGATCTTCACCAAATATTCGTTATTTCCGTCAACCTTTCGCTTATCTAATATCTTAGACACAATGACTTTGGGGTGCTTGTTATCAGCATTAAAAGCGTTCAGAAGTTCAGGACAGTTCAAGTTCTCGACAGGTTCCCAAGTATTATAAATACTATCATATCCTATCCATTTGATGAAGTATAAGATCCTGCCATTAGCGTCCAAACATTTGTCCTGTATTGCCTCTACCATGTATTCCTCAGTTGGTCCTACATGGACCACAGCCCCCTCAGACTCGCTCTTCTTTCGTCTCCCTCCAGCTCGCTTCTTCTTTGGAGTCCCCACTTCTACACCGATGGCTGAAGATCTCCTTCTCTTTGTTTTACGCTGGGGAGGGGATGATGCTTGAGTGTACTCTCCATTTAATTTTAACTTTATGGTACATGGCTGGTCGGAAGGAGCTTTAGGGCACTGCTCTAAATGTTCAAGATTAATCTTTTTCAAGACTATCTTAGTGGAACTACCAGTTGCTTGCTTTAAGGACCATTCTGAATCTTTTACCGTAGCGGATGATTTTTTAGGAATCTTCTTAGATAATTTCCGCTCATACTCTTTAATGAGTCCGGTACAATCTGCGTTCTGTTCCGGCTCCCAAGTAGCCTGGTCCTCAGGATAGCCCATCCACTTCAAGTAGAACCACTTCTTCCCTAATTCATCTATGTAGCGGTCGAGAACTTTTTCAACAACATAGTTTTGTGCAATGTTTGGAGCAACATTATTCTTTCGCTTACCCATACATCAACCTGGAAATTGAATATTGTAAATTCTTAAACATTATGGATCATCGTACAAAATGTGGGACAATAAATTATTATGCTGATAGGGCACATTAATTTTAATTTCCTGGTTCCATCACCGAATATTTCACTGCAATTTTCAGACGCAATTATCAACAGAATTTCCATTGAACATCTGCTTAATACGTCTGCATTCATTACACAATTGAATATGACTAGTAATTCAAACAAGTAATGATAAAAATTTTGTACAAGGTACAATTTATATAATATAGATTGAGTGCTGAGCAATTTTAACATGTCATGTCAAAATAACACATACATTTAACAGTAGTGTTTAAGTAAATAATATTCAACAATTGAATTTCAACAAGCATTTTGTGGTCATCTATCCTATGACCCAGAGTAATATGTTTATTCTGCAAAATACTTGAGAAAACAAATAATTTCTCTTTCAAAATCAGGAAAATTGCTAACTCTCCAGTACTGGAGTATAACTGTTTTCGGGTGTTTCATGAAGCAAACTACACCAAACTGAACGTTAAAACAGCCTCTTACAGATAAAATGAATAACAACTTAGTCCGCATTAAACACATTATTAGTTCTGTCTGTACTTCTCATTAACAAATAATAATTTGGAATTGAAGCCTAGAGTTGAGAGGTGCTCTAGTAGTACGGTGTGGTATACCCTCCTTGTTGGAAACTGGAGTAATAATCGTCAGCTGCTGCTGGCTTCTGGTTGAAGGAGCCGCCGTTACTAGACCCATAATCCGCCCTGCCTCTCTTGTTGCCCCCTCGGCTGTCTCCTCCTCTGTTCCATCGCTTGTTACCTTTGTCCCGAGCATTATCTCCCCAGGATTGAGCCATCTTCTCCAACTCTGGCGGAACGTTCTGTTTAGCCTCTGTCAGCACTTCGATCAGATTCTTAGCATTCTTCTGATTGGACTGAGTGAAGAAAGTGTAGGATGTACCGGTACCATTGGCTCGAGCTGTTCTGCCGATACGATGGATATAATCCTCAACAGAACTGGGATAATCATAGTTGATGACAAACTTAATGTCAGAGATGTCGATACCTCTAGCAGCCACGTCTGTAGCTATCATTATGGGTGAGTTACCAGTTCTGAACTCATTAAGTACCCACTCTCTTTCCTCCTGCTTCTTGTCGCCGTGTATTGACACTGTGGGCCAGCCTGACCGTCTCATCTGTCTTGTGATATCGTCAGCACACTTCTTAGTATCTGTAAATATAATTGTCTTGCAAGGTCCGTAAGACATTATCTCGGTGAGGAGTCGCTGAAGTTTGTCATACTTCTCCCACTCGGAGATCACGTCCACTATTTGGCAGATGTTGTGGTTTGCACTCAGAGTGTTTGAACCAATGTTTATCTGGATAGGCTCCTTCATGAAGTCTCTGGCGAGCGACTGAACTTCTTTAGGCCAAGTAGCTGACCACATGACAGTCTGTCTGTCTGGACGGATCTGACTGACGATAGTACGGATCTGAGGTTCAAAACCCATGTCTAACATTCTGTCAGCCTCATCCAGCACCAAGTAAGTGCATCTGCGGAGGTTAGTTTTGTTCATGTTAAGAAGATCAATAAGTCTGCCAGGTGTAGCTACCACTATTTCACAGCCTCTGTCTAGTTCTCTTATCTGTTGACCTTTAGGGGCACCTCCGTACACACAGCATATCCTCAAGTTTACTGCTCTAGCGAACTCGTCACACACTTTCATCACCTGCTGAGCAAGTTCACGAGTAGGACACAGGACCAGCCCAATAGGCCCATCTCCTGGAGCCAGGTAACCCTGAGCGGCTATGTGAATTAGCCCGGGGATCCCAAACGCGAGGGTCTTTCCTGAGCCAGTCTGAGCAACTCCTATCATATCTTGACCAGAGAGAACTATAGGCCAGCCTTGAGCTTGAATTGGAGTGGGTTCTTTGAATCCGTTACGCTCGATGACAGACATGACAGCACTTTTTAGTCCGGCTTCTTTGAATTGGAGGATAGGATTCGGACACCCCCGTCCAATAACAGCTATCTGGTGCTTTTCTCGGTACTCATCAATCTCAGCCTGGCCTCTGTCTGCTACTTCCGGCTGCTCGGTGTAAAAGTTCTTCTGGAACGGAGTCAGCTTGTAAGAGCTCCATTTGACGGCAGACAGTTCGTTCTGGATAGAAGACTTAGAGTTATAACCACGGTCACCTCCCCTGCTGTTACCGTATCTAGACATAATTTGCTCAGCTGAGGAGAGAATGACAAGTTAAAATACTGAAGAAACAGTCAAGTTATCATCTGAAATGTATTCGGTTAGAGCTACAGACGTGTGTAAAATGTAATACTGGGGATTAATAAGAAGTCAAGTAAATATGCTACTTCGTGTAGTTATTAACGTTCAAGTAAATATTATTATCTTGGAGAACGAGCGAATCATGCTGGAGTTGGCAAATAATCTGATTAACAAGACAAGACGATTCCTACTTGAAGTATCTGAAATCGGTTTCACGGTTGGGAGTTTGCACGTAGCTCAAACCTGGTGAACTTTTGTGCAAACTGAGTCGCGTCTGGTGGAGTAGCTACCGGCAAAAGATAACACTTCTTTCGCAGGCATCCTCTCTCCAGCTTGCGACCAACTGTCTGTGAAACCCTGAAACAGAAGCTTGAGGGAGTCACAACGTGAGGAGATACTGACTAGAGAATCACTCCTGTAGACCGTTGATTACTAATTAATGTAACTATTTCATGGATATAAAAACGTCGGAATTGGAAATCTATAGTAGTGAGACTTGCAAACATTGAAATTGTGTAAACAAAAAGCTCGACTATTGCCTTCAGTTAGAGAGAGCGCTGTAAAAATCAACTCAATAGCGCTCGATCCAAAAGCGGCTGCTCTTTTCGAGGACCATAAGAATAAATTCAACAAATGCGCGCGGCTGCTGTTTTCTGCTGTTTTCAATATTCTATCAGACTTTTACTTGATAAATCTAATTATACATTACTTTATCATATTTTATTGAACTAAATAAGTAACGCCCTAACGAGAGTTTAAGGATAATTATTAATCACTCGACACTCGACTGTCACTTGACGGATGTTACTCGTCTAAATTTCTTCGAAGTTGGAAGTAGCGTTTAGCTGAGCTGAGCGCGCCGCTTTCTCATTTCTTCTCGAAATGTAATTGGTAATGTGTTAGTCCGAGGCAAGTACTACTGGCTATGAAGTAGCGCATGCTGGGCTAGTCCATTATCAATGAACAAGATCACTGTCACGTGACTTTTTAAACCCGTTCTCAAGGTGGCCCTGAATAATTATCCGAAACCCTAATCTTCTAATCTAAGCTGATCCCAACCTTAACCCTGATCTTATTTCTTTTATTTGAAAATTCAATTCATTATTATAAATATAAATCAAGCGTTACATTTCAGCCATGCAAAATTACAATGACACATTTTGATATACTAATTGATAAATGGTGTAGCAATATAAGTTGCTTAATGTGTAAACTTTGGAGGACTTCGCCGCTTCGATGTTCGACGCGCCGCGCAAACTACAAACTAGCATTCTTGTTCACATAGCCATGTGCCTACGCGTACTGCGTGACGCGCTTGTTTCACAAGTACGGTCGCGCGCTACTGCAAGCGAGAGGGCTCTGGTTAGAGCAAGCATTCTTGCTTTGCATCGAAGATCGTTGCAACCCATCGTCGATCGTTGTTCTGCTTTGCGTCGCAAAGCAACAATCTCGACATTGTCAATCAAGTGCGGACTGTGGCCGAATGACAACTAACTAAACAAAAAATATATAAACTTGATTACATAATAATTAATTCGGCTGAACCGCGCCGACACATACTATATATAATTTTAAAAAGCTACATTCAACATTAATATAACGTTGGCAGTTGGGGCCGTCTAACAAAACCACATACTAAACCACTAACTCTAACGTTAAACATGTATGATGTAACGAGAAACCCCAGGGAAGATTTGTAACCCTATTATATGTCATGGGGTGATTTGGAATCAGTTTTTGAAAATACATCGATTCAAGTTGGTTTCAATCATTAATTGTTATTGGTTATGCCAGGGGCCCTTTTAGAAAAAATGTTAAAATCGCCTGAGAGTTTAAGTCAAATTTCAATTGCATCTGATTTTGTTTTTGGTTTGTTTTTGTTTTTATTTCTTATGCACATTGCAGTGTTTCTTTAATGTTTAAGTCAACTTATTTTTAGCGCAAGTTGTATCCCCGCCGAAAGCACAGTCCCGAAATTGCGTGCATTGCAGTAACTTCCTTCAAACTTCATGATTCGAGATCAAATAATTTGTAATGTATTTAAAATCAACATATAATATATGCACTTTATGAGTGCATATAATCAATCACTTGAAATACTTTTAAGGGCACGCTATATATTTGTTTGTTATAACGATCGTTAAATTGAGCCGCGCGTAACAAAATATAGCTCACACGTTATCAAAATAACTTTGCAAATTATCATTACAACGATTTTGTATTAGTGGGTATATATTAGCAACAAATTTTATAGTTCATTTATTCTTTTAAAAATAAAGTCTATGTAAAATTCATACCAATTTTCAGCATTAATTTTATTTTTTCTGTTAATTGATAAATTATAATCCATGTTTTTGTAATTTTTTTGCATCATCGAGTCCTAACATCTGCAGTCCACTTTGGAGGGACGGATCAAACCGGTTGCTGCGATCGTTGCAGTTGTAGGGTTTTTGGGCCTCATAGAAATCGACTTAGTTGTCATCAAGGAACAGTTCATTGGATCTTCAAGTTCTTTTTAAGCATTTATTTTGTTTCAACGATCCTTTTTGGAGTCTTTTGAAGCAGAAAATCACATTTCAGTAGGATCCCAAGACTCCAAGATGAGGAAATCTTACCTGGATACTTGGGACGACTTTTATGCTGCATCAGAACAGTTGTACTTGGACGCTCCCGGAAAGTTCAGATTTGTTATCAAATATCGTCATTGTGATGGGAAAATGGTTTTGAAAGTTACCAACAACGCAATCGTCATCAAGTACCTGTCAGATCAAATTCAGGATGGGAAGAAGTTAGATAAGCTAAATGCTTTGTTGATGAGGCATATGGTCTCAAAGAGTTAGTTGTGTTGGTTTTACTATGGACTCTTTCATCTGTCGCTACGTTACTGTTTGTGATGATGTATTCATTGCTGAAATTGGTTGTTCAGTATTGTTTCGTTTTACTTTGATCTTTGGGGATATAAGCAATATTAATGTACTGAGTATTTAAGTTTGACTTTTATCTTATCAGTAATCTATTTGAAAAGTCGTCATTCTTTCTTTATTGATCTTCTGATACTATACAAATTCCTACTGTGTAATTTTTAAAATTTAAGACTGAAAATCCCTTTCGAATTGAATTAAGTTTCTCAATCTGAAGAAGATATCTTAATGCATTAAGTTACCCTTTGGCATTTCTCGTTGTATCAAGCTTGTAAACGATGTGTAATTTGTATTGACACTTTTGATCATACAGCCATGGCGTTAGAAGGAGCTCAACAACTGCTGGATTTCAGCCAGAAGTTAGACATTAATCTACTAGACAATGTTATTAAAACCATGTACCATGGAACGGGCCCTCAGGTTCGTGGGGTTAATTTTGTGAATATCATCTTGTTTATTTGAACACTAAAATTGCTTTCAGGCAAAAGATAAGCAGATTAAACCCACTTTTAAAGGAGTAATTTGAGTCGCGTGTCTTCACAAATATTTATAAAAAATATTGAGCTTATGTATTACAGATCTTTAAATTTAGTCATTGAAAAGATGTTTTAATTCAGAAGGCTTATTGTTGGATGAAACGAATGTAAAATTGTTGAATATTTAAAGCAATCTACAAATTTTCAGCAAAAATCAGCTCAAGAAGTGCTGGTGAAGTTGCAGACTCACCCGGAAGCTTGGCAGCGAGTAGATCTTATTCTAGAATTCTCCACTAATCAAGAAACTAAGGTTACTAAATTTGATCTATCTCTTGGCTAATTCAGCAAATTTTTTCTTATTCCTGTATTTATCATGTTACTATCGCATATTTGACACATTAAGTATACACATAATAATAGAGTGGTTAAATTTATCGCTGGTTTATTTATTGTTTCATTGATACAAATGGTGCGTATTGACCTATTTTTATTGTTCAATGTTGGTGTTATAGGTTTAATATCTTATTATTAACATTCCGCATTTCAGCACTACGCTCTGCAAATTCTGTCAGGCGTAATTAAAACGAGATGGAAAGTTTTACCAAGGGAACAATGTGATGGTGTTAAAACTTTCATTGTTGGTCTTATTATCAAACTCTCTTCTGATGCTACATCTAGTGAGGTTCGTTCTTTTTGTTAAATTTGTTTTCTTCTGCAGGAATCTGGTTGTTTGTCGCAGCATATCTTTTTAAATAGTTCCCTAAGGCTAATTTGAGGGGCCAGACAACAGTTTAGATTGTGACTTGAGTAGACTGTTCTAGCTGCCTTCTCCGCAAACGAATTTTTATGGTGTGTTAACTTCGTGGAAAAGCCTGGTGCCAAGGCGAGGATCGCTTTTAATTTAGACACGATATTATTTGAGGAATGATACTATCATTTTAGGGGGAATATTATACAGTAACGCCTCCTTCAGCATCAGTTGAGGAGACGCGTGTGCACTGTAGATGTGCGTCCGTTATATCACAGTATTAGGAATGTAGATATGTTGCATCGTTATATCACAGCTCTTCCGGCCATTACAATATAGGATCAGCATTAGGATCAGCATAAGGATCAGCATTAGGATCAGCATTAGGATCAGCATTAGGATCAGCATTAGGATCAGCATTAGAATCAGCATTAGGATCAGCATTTCGATCAGCATTAGGATCAGCATTTGGATCAGCCTTAGGATCAGCATTAGGAATGGTGTTGTGGAAAACACAAAAGAGGCAATTTTGCGAGCTGATGCCAAGCATTACTAAGATTATTTAGAACCATCAACCAACGCAACAGCTCAAGCTTTCTTCTGATTTACTTGATATAAAAGTTGATACAAAAGTTGAGAAGGTTACTGTCTGGTCGGTTATAATGACACCAAACTACATTTTCAAACCTTGAATTTAGGGGACAGATTTTATTAAATTCGACCCGGCTCTGTCGACATGGATACATTTGAGAATCGGGCTAGCTCAAAAGAATGGTTACCATCATCAATCATCATCTTCAGCACAGTGAGATGTTGGAGAATTCTAGTCAATCTAGATTTTTTTAATCGAACTTAGCTTTGTGATAATTGTATGGTCTGAATGAATATGAATCAACATCTAGATAAGTTCTTTCTTTCGGTTCTAGTTGGTTTGGTCGACAACGAAATCAACCAGATCATGGTCTGACGGTTTATGTTAGCCTATGATATTGTTAGGCCAAAGATCTTTCAGCGTGATAGGTCCCAAAATCTTCAACAACCTTCCTCTGTCTGTTCAAAGCTGTCCTACTAGTAACAGCTTCAAATCGGCCCTCAAGACTTATCTGTTCAGTTTATCAACTCATGATTTGGAAAAACTTTATTCATGAACTCGAGACTCTAAGTTACTGAGTTATATTAATAAATCGTGTTTTGCCGGGAAGGCTGTTAATTTAGGATAGAGTTTTTGTGGCCCTTAACCCAGTTTGTTCTTTTGTAGTTGTTCTCACACTGCTGAGTAAAAGTTTTACAACTTAAAAGCAGTGTTTATAATTCAATTTATGATTATTATTAGCTTATGTAAGCGTATGTTAGCTTATTAAGGGGGCATACACCAAACCTGTCCAACCCAAATGACCTCATAGGCAATTCAGTGACCATCTAGCGCACCGTTTCCACATCAAAAAAACTTATTTTGAGAATATCCATTTTTGTAATCGGGCATTTCCGATCCTGGTTAGAGTGGAATTTTCGGAAAAACACACTTTTTCGAAAAGGCTATAGGTTAATCATTTCTTGCGGTATCGGGTTGAAATTTTGCTCGCCGTTTATTCACATCTATTTCAAGTCAAAAAGCTAAAATTGTCCTTTTCAGGCTTATTTTAACAAAAAGTCAGTCAGGAAAGATCGGATTGATTTGATACTTGACATGAAATTGTTCTCTGAATTCTGGCGCAGTTTCTGATGCCCTCAAAAATGTTTTTACTCATTTATCTTCAGATCTATTGGACCTCAAAGCCAAACAACAAATTTAGGCACATTTTTCGTTTTTAATATTTACTAATTTTTCTAAAATTTTGATAGGAATGTGCTAGTGACTTTTTGAAGGGCGCAAAATAACCGCAACTAGCACACCTCGATTTTTGTCGATTTTTAGAGGTCCAAGATTTTCAAAATAGAATTAAAAATCTTTAATGGCATATCTCACAATTCTAGCTCTAGAGTTCTCTTCTAACTGATTGATCCTAAGAACATATCATGAAAGTTTGAGGGTGATTGCTCAAAAAATGTAAGAGAAGATAGATTTTTAGACTCGATTTCAGAACGCGCGATTGAATATCGCTCGCGCAATACAATTACACATAAGCGCAGCGCTGACCTTTGACCGGCGATAATTTTGGCTAGGAACAATATTTTTCCATGGGACCAAAAGCAGCTGATAAATATCACTCCCCTCGATCAGAAACAACTATAAAGTCGATTTCGAGAGAATTGTGATGAAGACCCCCCTCGGCCCCCTTCATGCTTTTCATACAAAGTTACAACAAAATCTTCATGTTATGTATCCTGGGTTTGGACAGGATATTACCCGCTTAAAATGTCCATCGCGTTACATAATACTCAATAAATGTAATAGATTTATAGTGTTGTAATTAGTTTAAAACCTACGTTAGCTTATGCTAGCCTACGTTAGCTTATGTTAGCTTATGTTAACCTACGTTACCTTATTACACACAGTACATTACACACAGTATGCACACTCATATATGGCAGTGACTATCCCAGCTGCATATAATGTAGTGTACTAATAGCAGCAGATATGAGATAACAGCACGATCGCTTACTGATAGACTTGCAAGAAATTCCTGAGCTGAATAGGGCCGGTAAATCAATTGGTAGAGCACCAGGCATGTGACTCGGAGTTTGGCGGATCATACCCGCGGCCCGCCCCGGCACTATGCCAGCCTATGATTTTCCAAATTATTTACCAGTGGAAATCTAGTCAATTTAAATATCTGCTTGCTTGGTACTCATGCTCATGATACAATCACAGCCCAACCAACTAACAACTTCTTGATCGAACCGATTCACCTAAATGTGCATACGTGTACAATACTTCATGAGTAGTACAGCTGCTATACGTGTACTTCACGATAATCCGCCCCCCCCCCCCCCCCCAACCAAAACCTTACGTTAGCTTATGTTAGCCTACGTTGGCTTATGTTAGCCTATGTTAGCCTATGATAACTTATAAGCCTCTATAACATCCAGGGTTTATTTTAGACGAGATTATCATTCCTGCTCTTGTGTAAGGCGAATATAACAGAGTATAATATGCTGTCTGGTATTTGAAGGTCTGGTAACAGTTCCAGTCTGTATTGAGGATATTAAAGTGGCTCAGGTTGTGAAGGTTGACTACTAGTCTGTATTGAGGATATTAAAGTGGCTCAGGTTATAAAGGTTGACTACTAGTCTGTATTGAGGATATTAAAGTGGCTCAGGTTGTGAAGGTTGACTACTAGTCTGTATTGAGGATATTAAAGTGGCTCAGGTTGTGAAGGTTGACTACTAGTCTGTATTGAGGATATTAAAGTGGCTCAGGTTGTGAAGGTTGACTACTAGTCTGTATTGAGGATACTAAAGTGGCTCAGGTTGTGAAGGTTGACTACTAGTCTGTATTGAGGATATTAAAGTGGCTCAGGTTGTGAAGGTTGACTACTAGTCTGTATCGAGGATATTAAAGTGGCTCAGGTTGTGAAGGTTGACTACTAGTCTGTATTGAGGATATTAAAGTGGCTCAGGTTGTGAAGGTTGACTACTAGTCTAACCTAGGTTGACTTTTAATAGTCTGATGAATTACTACGTAAGTTGATAAATCCCCTGCTGTAATTGATCGAGGGGAAAAAAGGAGTTCAGGTACTCTGGTGTGAACTATTAACAATGTCTATTATTCTTGAGACTTGTTATAGCTATTTTATTACTGTAGGACGTATAGTAGTAGGACGTATAGTAGTAGGTATAACTTGCATTCTTTTGTTAGGGCGAGTGATTAACATTGGAATTCTGTATATACACAGAATTGTTTTCAAAATCTTACTGCTGTCTCACAAGGCATTGCTAGGATTGGCACCAACTTATCTGCAGGACATGTTTAGGTACTCACATCATGGTCACACATTAAAACTAATTTTACCATTTTGTAACTCTAAGTTTGGTGAGCGTAGCTTCTCTGTGGTGGCTCCAAAGATCTACAATCGTCTGCCTGATACCATTTCATCGGCTCAATCACTGGAATCATTTAAAGCTGCCCCTTCATGAACTTGAAAAACTTTATCGATAATTTATTTTGGTCAATATTGGAGTTCGACTTTTATATATAATAAGTATCATTTTATGTCATTATACTTAGCGATATATTTTCAAGCATACGTTACCAGTCCTTATCTTATTCAATTACTTTTCTGGTATGTTTAGATTAAACACTGCTAAGTGTAAGTTTTATCTTAAAAGTGGTTTATTAAACTTCAATGAATTATTGTTATTATATCTATATAATAATAATATAGACCATCAGTTACTGACCCGTTCTTTTAACGCGATCTAAAAGAGCGACTCAAGTTAACTTATATTTCATCGTCAATATAGTCCTAATAATACCAAATAACAGAATTTATTTCAGAAAGAAAAGGTGTTCCTCAACAAGCTCAACATCGTTCTGATTGAGGTAGGTTTTAGATTTCTCCTAAAGTTACACATTACTTATTTTCAATTGTGTTACATTTGTCGTTAACAGTAACAGGAAAGTTATTCTTACAATGCATTTTCTACAATGCATTTTGTTGTACATATCTAGGGTTACTGCTTGGACTCAAGTTGACCACAGACCAACTGTAGTTGGTCACAGTTGGTTAGGTATACGATGGTTTGAATAGCTGACTTGTTTAGTAGATGATTCCACGGAATTTTTATCATCGTTTTTTCTGTCATTACTTGTGTAACTATAATTCATTTTGCCCAAAATCGTCATGAGAATTGACGTGTGAAAATTTTGCGTTACAACCAGGCTTGCGGAGATTGCTAACCGGCTCCCTCCCTCCCCCCTCCCCCTCCCCTCCCCCTCCCCCTCCCCCTCAACCTCCCCCTCCCCCTCCCCCTCCCCCTCCCCCTCCCCCTCCCCCTCCCCCTCCCCCTCCCCCTCCCCCTCCCCCTCCCCCTCCCCCTCCCCCTCCCCCTCCCCCTCCCCCTCCCCCTCCCCCTCCCCCTCCCCCTCCCCTCGCCCCCAAAAATTACTTCGATGGATCTTCAGCTTTTCTGCCATTTCTTGTTAAACCTCCAACTAAAAATAAGTCCATCGGAGATAGCTCCGTCATGATAATATTACTTACAATAGTTTGATAAAATTTAGAAACCGTGTCCCTCTGGCTCAAAATTATTTTGCATACTGTTGTCGGCTGGCGCGGAACAAGTATTACTACTAAAGCGACCATATTGTGATTCGTTATTTCGCGCGCGTCACATGTTTGGCGCGCACTCGGCGGGTTCATTCGATCACGAATAGTCATCTTAAACAGCATGCAAACCGTACCTCATCTCTAATCCTTTGTTTTATTCTATTCTTTAATAAGCTGAGATTTGCTACATCCCTCGATTTCTATTTTAAAATACTAATAAGTTCTTCCCTTCCAGATTGTGAAACAGGAATGGCCACGAAATTGGCCAACGTTTATATCAGATATAGTTGGATCTTCTAAAACGAACGAAAACCTCTGTCGGAACAACATGATCATTCTCAAACTCCTGAGGTATGTGTATAATATTTAATGTTGATGATTTACGGCTGTAATGTGGTGTGCATAGAAAGTAAGTCCACGGTGCACCCTGTCTCCAGTATTCGTCCGGTTTTCGCAGTGTTTTTTAGGGCCAATCCTGTAATTAATTAATTGATAATCTCATCAATTATTCCATCAAACATTTCAGCGAGGAAGTGTTCGACTTCTCCCAAGGAATAATGACACAAGCAAAAGTGAAGCATCTGAAGGACACGATGTGTAATGAGTTCAGTGAAGTGTTTTCTTTGTGCACATTGGTTCTAGATAACTCAACTAGTGTTCCACTTGTTCAGGCCTGCCTAAATACTCTCTTAGGTATTATTCCTTCTTTACAGTTTTAACCTTGTTTCTTTTACAGTTGTTGACTTGTTAATTTGATTGCTGTAGTTGATTTAAACATTAAAAGAGCCGAAATTAAAATTGTTTAATAGTTATTAGTTAAACAGAACAAATCGCTGATCCAACCTCTTATTCACCGAGCAAACTAACAACTTATCACCACTCATCCTATTAAAACCATTCTCTCAGGGTTTTTAAACTGGATACCACTTGGCTACATATTCGAGACAAAGCTGATAACTCAACTCACCTTCAAATTCCTTAGCGTACCTGACTTTAGGAATATTACTCTGAAATGCCTCACCGAAATAGCAGGTAACTAGATAAGACACAGAACAGACCAGATTGGTAAAAGTGTTGAGTACAACTGTGTAATTAAAATCAGTAAACACTTTCTACTCTTTGTACACTTTGTACACATTGTACACTTTGTACACTTTGTATACTTTGTACACTTTGTACACTTTGTACACTTTGTACACTTTGTACACTTTGTACACTTTGTACACTTTGTACACTTTGTACACTTTGTACACTTTGTACACTTTGTACACTTTGTACACTTTGTACACTTTGTACACTTTGTACAGGGGTCACATACAAGGTGTGTAATGTATGATAAATTGTACACATTATGTGAGCCGTGAGGCCGCTAGCCGCGTATGATGTGGAGGCGGGGCCATTATTAATGGATATTTCTTTGTCAAGCATGTATTGACTATACGCTACACAGTAACGTCCGCCGTTTTCTAGATTAGATCACACTCGTAATGTTACTCAGTCAGTGTTGTCTTGTTGCGAGGGTTCATCAGGGACTAGGTCACACTTTGCTTGTTTATCAGGGGCACACATAACACTCCTTTTTAATCAGGCATTGACGCCCGGGCCCACGAGTCCCAGTTTTGCGAGCTGTTCAATCTGACGATGAACCAAATAAAGACGATGTTGCCCTTAACGACGAACCTTCGGGAGGCTTACAAGTCAGGTCGGGATGACGAACAAAACTTTATACAGAACATGGCGCTGTTCATTTCTACCATCTTGAAGGAGCACGGGTATTTATACTACTTCTGTTGTGAAACCATTTAGAAGTGGCGGTTGTGACTTGAGATATCTGATAATAACAAGAGATGGCTTTTGCTAAACGTATTTTTTACCTTTGAATCGATTAAAAGTAGTCCGGTAATGATTCGGTTGATTTTTACGTGTATTTTGATTGGTTGACCGTAATAAGAATACGGTATGAAGCGTATCCCATTTGGCAGTTTCTGTCGTACACTGGTCACACTGGTCACAGATTACTGATCCCTTCAGGCAATACATAGAGGGTAAGGACGATTTGCATTCGTCTCTACTTGAAGCACTCCACTATCTGGTACTCATCTCTGAGGTAGAGGAGAAGGAAATATTCAAAATATCTCTGGAATATTGGAACAGCCTCGCTAGTGATCTTTATAGAGAGGTGAGTTCTTAACAGACAGAGTTATAGGCCCCACCTTCAGACACAAGGGTGTATCTATTTAAGTTACAAATTCCTAATATTCTCACCGAGTCGTCTACAGAAAACAAACGTGATAAAATTCAATAACTTAACTACCTTTTTCTGATAATTGTGTCCTTAACTACACTAAAGGTATAGTTAAGAGATGATTGGTTATTGTAACTGAACCTTCTTATTTCAGAGCCCTTACAGTTCCAATCCGATGAGTTACCCACTGCTGTCAAACAATAACTCCATACCTCCTCGCAGACAACTATATTTAGCTGTTCTAAGCAAGGTTTATAATCATGTTTTTCACAATGGAAGATTTTAGATTTATAGTTAACAGATCGTTATGGTCAAATTGAAAATGGAGAACCTTTTTGAAACTTGTATTAAATTTGTGAATTAAGAATCCTAGTTAATGAGGTTGATAGATAATAACCTAGGTTCGGGTGGTACTGATATCGCACATGGCTAAGCCGGAGGAAGTGTTGGTAGTGGAGAACGACCAGGGGGAGGTAGTGAGGGAGTTCATGAAGGACACTGACGCTATCAGTCTCTATAAGACCATGAGGGAGACTCTCGTTTATCTCACCCATCTTGGTGGGTGCCTCTTTTATCTTTATCTCTCCAGTGCTTTTTATTCAGAATTGTGACCCCCCCCCCCCTTAACTAACCTGCCCCTTAACTAACCTGCCCCCCCCTTCTCAACTAACCTATCCCTCGTCCAGATTACGCAGATACAGAGCACATCATGACTCAGAAGTTGCACAACCAAGTAAACGGGACAGAGTGGAGCTGGAAGAACCTGAACACATTGTGTTGGGCTATAGGGTCCATCAGTGGGGCAATGCACGAGGAGGATGAGAAAAGGTCAGATCTTAAACCTTCTACATTTAGCTTGGATAATTTTCTTTAATTCTGCTAATTATTGAATTAAAGTACACGAGGATGGGTTAGTAAATCTGAGTTAGTGAAGACTTGTTCAGGTTTTTGGTAACTGTGATAAAAGAGCTGCTTGGGCTGTGCGAGATGAAGCGAGGGAAGGATAATAAAGCTATTATTGCGAGTAACATTATGTACATTGTCGGACAATACCCCAGGTAAACAAACCTTGTTATCACTTGTAGTTGAGATTAACCTCACTTGTAGCTGAGATTAACCTCACTTGTAGCTGAGATTAACCTCACTTGTAGCTGAGATTAACCTCAATTGTAGCTGAGATTAACCTCACTTGTAGCTGAGATTAACCTCACTTGTAGCTGAGATTAACCTCCCTTGTAGCTGAGATTAACCTCACTTGTAGCTGAGATTAACCTCACTTATATGTAATATTATGAAATTCTCTTAACTCCGAATGTTTCCAGATTTCTGAGACAGCACTGGAAGTTCCTGAAGACTGTAGTAAACAAACTGTTTGAGTTTATGCACGAAACACACGACGGTGTTCAGGATATGGCCTGCGACACTTTCATCAAGATAGCTCAGAAGTGCAAACGTCACTTTGTCACTGTACAGGTTTGTCACTAGATTCCAACTACTAGCACTAGATTGTAAACCAATTCGAGATTTGAAAATTTTACCTGTGAATCCACCTCAGAGAGATTAACAGGAGATTGTACTGGTGTTTATCAACTAACTTATTTAAAGGTAAAGTAGTACTGTAGTAGTTAGTACGTACTGGTTAGTGGACTAGTTAGTTACTTACACTAAACTATCCCAGGTGGCTGAAGTAATGCCTTTTATTGAGGAGATCCTGAACGGAATAAACGCTATTATCTGTGATCTGCAGCCTCACCAGGTATCTCACTAGTAGCTGCTATCAAATATCTCGAATTTGCTCTGTTTTCAAACGTTGTTATTGCTTTGTGAGGTGATGTGTAATAATAATCCCCTCTAACCAGTGTCCCCCTCTAACCAGTGTCCCCCTCTAACCAGTGTCCCCCTCTAACCAGTGTCCCCCTCTAACCAGTGTCCCCCTCTAACCAGTGTCCCCCTCTTACCATGAGTGTCCCCCTCTAACCAGTGTCCCCCTCTAACCAGTGTCCCCCTCTAACCAGTGTCCCCCTCTAACCAGTGTCCCCCTCTAACCAGTGTCCCCCTCTAACCAGTGTCCCCCTCTAACCAGTGTCCCCCTCTAACCAGTGTCCCCCTCTAACCAGTGTCCCCCTCTAACCAGTGTCCCCCTCTTACCATGAGTGTCCCCCTCTAACCAGTGTCCCCCTCTAACCAGTGTCCCCCTCTAACCAGTGTCCCCCTCTAACCAGTGTCCCCCTCTATCCAGTGTCCCCCTCTAACCAGTGTCCCCCTCTAACCAGTGTCCCCCTCTAACCAGTGTCCCCCTCTAACCAGTGTCCCCCTCTAACCAGTGTCCCCCAGGGACAAAAGGATTTCGCGGCATGTACGAAATCGCGAAATTTCCCATTCTCTGCGACAAATTTTATCTATAGTTTAATGTATAGCCTGTTAAATTTCGCGGTACCGCGATTTTTGGCCAAAATAATCGCGAAATCCTTTTGTCCCTGGTGTCCCCCTCTAACCAGTGTCCCCCTCTAACCAGTGTCCCCCTCTAACCAGTGTCCCCCTCTAACCAGTGTCCCCCTCTAACCAGTGTCCCCCTCTAACCAGTGTCCCCCTCTAACCAGTGTCCCCCTCTAACCAGTGTCCCCCTCTAACCAGTGTCCCCCTCTAACCAGTGTCCCCCTCTAACCAGTGTCCCCCTCTAACCAGTGTCCCCCTCTAACCAGTGTCCCCCTCTACCAGGTACACACGTTCTACGAGGCAGTAGGGTACATGATACAAGCACAAGCTGACACCGTGGTACAGGAGAGACTCATTGAGAAGTGCATGTCACTTCCCAATCAGGTACATGGTATAGTAGTGATAGGCACCATGTTACGTAATCAGTGAATAGCGATTTCAATATTTATTTTTATCAATAAAAACTAAAAAAGAAAGTGGTGTTGGGGTTGTCTCCCCCACTTATCAGTGTCTCCCCCACTAACCAGTGTAACCGCCCTCTGACCGCCCCTCTGCAGGTGTGGGACAGGATAATAAACAACGCAACACACAACGTTGAGACACTCAAGGACCCGGAGTGTGTTAAACAGCTGGGGAACATCCTGAAAACTAACGTGCGCGCTTGCCAGGCAATAGGACACCCCTTCGTCACCCAGCTGGGGAGGATATACCTGGACATGCTCAATGTTTACCAGGTCAGATTATATGTCTTATTATAGCTTTATGAAATGTTACCAATTACCATGGTTACACAGAAGGGACTCGTCAGCATGGGACTTGTACCCTGCGTTAGGGTTACGGTTAGGTTGATTCGCAACCCATACCTTAACCCTAAACCTAAATAAAAAAAAAACATGTTAAACAGTTGGGATGGTTTAACATGTTTTAGGACGGAATTACATTTGCACGCTAGATGATGATGTTCTTTAATTAAGTATATTTCCCTTTTCTAATGTCAATAATTCACAGTAGTTGTTGTTTGTTTGTTCCATCTGTAAGCTTGCAAGATCCTCAGCTTCAATCAGTGTATCTCTCGTTTTATCTGGTGGTGAATTCATGCCTTGGAGTTTGTACAGACTTTGAGAAAAGCCAAACTTAGGAAAATACACTGACTCCAGTAATCTGGGTAGTAGCAGAAGTTAAGTACTATAGTAGCAGAACTTAAGTGCCACTATGTTTACAGCTCACTAGTAAATTAATTATCACCTTCAAAGTGACGTACAATAAGGTGCCTACTGACTACTGCCCACTGCCCACTGCCTACTGCCTACTGCCTACTGCCTACTGCCTACTGCCTACTGACTACTGCCTACTGCCTACTGCCCACTGCCTACTGACTACTGCCCACTGCCCACTGCCTACTACTACAATGTGAATTGTAAAATAATACGTACCGTTAAAAACATGTTATAATTTTATAAAAGATTATATTAACTTTCTAACCTTGTAAACGGATTACTTGCCAACGGTAAATAAATCAAATTATACGAGAAAATTGCGTTGTAAAACATTAATATAATCTCTCCAAATTAAAACGGCCTTATACATGATATCATCGTAATAATAATCATAATTAAGTAGGAAATTGGAGACACTGTCTGAAAGTTACCCTCATCTGTTTCTGTCGTGGTGACGTCACCAATCATGTACACACACGGTTACACAGAACTTTATCTAATAAAATGATGTCAACTCTCTCCCTCCCTCTCTCTCTCTCTCTCTTCCTCTCTCTCTCTCGCACTCGTTTCGGTGGTGTCATATTTCTATCGTCTTGTGTAATCTGTGATATGTTTTAGTGTAGTCAGTGTAGCCTATCTTACTGTTTACTGTGTTCTGCGATATGTTTTAGTGCAGTCAGTGTAGCCTATCTTACTGTTTACTGTGTTCTGTGATAGCTAACACTATTAATGCTAAGTACCAAACAACAAGTGGGAGGTGGATCGTTGGTATACCATTAAATCGATTTAACACCGCAATTCCAGTCGCAAGCCTGGGACCACTACTAGCATACAACATCTACAAAGCTGCCATATAGCCTGACTGACAATTTTCTCGACTGACTGACAATGTTTCTTTTTTTTCCCCATTTAGAATACAAAGATTAGTACATTTTAGCTTATGATTAATATTATATTTTTACCTATAGTTTACCAAGATATGTTTTAGTGCAGTCAGTGTAGCCTACCTTACTGTTTACTGTGTTCTGTGATATGTTTTAGTGCAGTCAGTGTAGCCTATCTTACTGTTTACTGTGTTCTGTGATATGTTTTAGTGCAGTCAGTGTAGCCTATCTTACTGTTTACTGTGTTCTGTGATATGTTTTAGTGCAGTCAGTGTAGCCTATCTTACTGTTTACTGTGTTCTGTGATATGTTTTAGTGCAGTCAGTGTAGCATATCTTACTCTTTACTGTGTTCTGTGATATGTTTTAGTGCAGTCAGTGTAGCCTACCTTACTGTTTACTGTGTTCTGTGATATGTTTTAGTGCAGTCAGTGTAGCATATCTTACTCTTTACTGTGTTCTGTGATATGTTTTAGTGCAGTCAGTGTAGCCTATCTTACTGTTTACTGTGTTCTGTGATATGTTTAGTGCAGTCAGTGTAGCCTATCTTACTGTTTACTGTGTTCTGTGATATGTTTAGTGCAGTCAGTGTAGCCTATCTTACTGTTTACTGTGTTCTGTGATATGTTTTAGTGCAGTCAGTGTAGCCTATCTTACTGTTTACTGTGTTCTGTGATATGTTTTAGTGCAGTCAGTGTAGCCTACCTTACTGTTTACTGTGTTCTGTGATATGTTTTAGTGCAGTCAGTGTAGCCTATCTTACTGTTTACTGTGTTCTGTGATATGTTTTAGTGCAGTCAGTGTAGCCTATCTTACTGTTTACTGTGTTTTGTGATATGTTTTAGTGCAGTCAGTGTAGCCTATCTTACTGTTTACTGTGTTCTGTGATATGTTTAGTGCAGTCAGTGTAGCCTATCTTACTGTTTACTGTGTTTTGTGATATGTTTTAGTGCAGTCAGTGTAGCCTATCTTACTGTTTACTGTGTTCTGTGATATGTTTTAGTGCAGTCAGTGTAGCCTACCTTACTGTTTACTGTGTTCTGTGATATGTTTTAGTGCAGTCAGTGTAGCCTACCTTACTGTTTACTGTGTTCTGTGATATGTTTTAGTGCAGTCAGTGTAGCCTATCTTACTGTTTACTGTGTTCTGTGATATGTTTTAGTGTAGTCAGTGTAGCCTACCTTACTGTTTACTGTGTTCTGTGATATGTTTAGTGCAGTCAGTGTAGCCTACCTTACTGTTTACTGTGTTCTGTGATATGTTTAGTGCAGTCAGTGTAGCCTACCTTACTGTTTACTGTGTTCTGTGATATGTTTAGTGCAGTCAGTGTAGCCTATCTTACTGTTTACTGTGTTCTGTGATATGTTTTAGTGCAGTCAGTGTAGCCTATCTTACTGTTTACTGTGTTCTGTGATATGTTTAGTGCAGTCAGTGTAGCCTATCTTACTGTTTACTGTGTTCTGTGATATGTTTTAGTGCAGTCAGTGTAGCCTATCTTACTGTTTACTGTGTTCTGTGATATGTTTAGTGCAGTCAGTGTAGCCTACCTTACTGTTTACTGTGTTCTGTGATATGTTTAGTGCAGTCAGTGTAGCCTATCTTACTGTTTACTGTGTTCTGTGATATGTTTTAGTGCAGTCAGTGTAGCCTATCTTACTGTTTACTGTGTTCTGTGATATGTTTAGTGCAGTCAGTGTAGCCTATCTTACTGTTTACTGTGTTTTGTGATATGTTTAGTGCAGTCAGTGTAGCCTATCTTACTGTTTACTGTGTTCTGTGATATGTTTAGTGCAGTCAGTGTAGCCTACCTTACTGTTTACTGTGTTCTGTGATATGTTTAGTGTAGTCAGTGTAGCCTATCTTACTGTTTACTGTGTTCTGTGATATGTTTTAGTGCAGTCAGTGTAGCCTATCTTACTGTTTACTGTGTTCTGTGATATGTTTAGTGCAGTCAGTGTAGCCTATCTTACTGTTTACTGTGTTCTGTGATATGTTTTAGTGCAGTCAGTGTAGCCTATCTTACTGTTTACTGTGTTCTGTAACACTTTTGAGTGTTATATTACACTCCTTACTCTTACCAGAACTCTGTTGATGTCACAGTTTCTAGTTCAACCCTGCTGTCAGAACCTCCTCACAGCTCGATGACCCCGGTCCTGTGTTCTGAGGCACATTAACCAGTACCCTTCTACCACCTTCCCTTCCTTTCTGTCTGTGTGTGGCTGCAGACCCTCAGATTAATCCTCAGTCATTTTCCGTTGCTTACGAACATGGATATGATGCTAGTGGCCTACCAACCTCTAGCAATACCTTGGTACTCGCAAAGTTTTTTGCCACGCACCCGCTTATCTATATTACATCGAGCTAGACAACTTAAGCACTAGGGTTCGAGCCCCTAACTCTCTTTCTGATAGCACAGCTCATGATGACGCTACACCTTTAAACCCTCCTGAGAGAGATACAGCTGATGGTATCTGTGCTAAAAGAAAGACCAACAAAAAACCAAAAATAAACAAAAAAATCTCAGAGTCCTTTTATCTTTCTACCTACAATGTTAGATCTCTCACTGAAGAATGGAAACAGTGGGAGCGTGTATGTAAAGCTAAAACATTCAACATCCCAGTGATAGCGCTACAAGGACACCGCATTAAGAAGTCTACTTGCATAATGCGCGATGGCTACAAGTTCCTCTTGGCTTCTCCTCCCCCTAAAAGTAGAACCATCCTAGGTCTAGGCTTCCTCCTTTCTCCTTGGGCCCAACGCTGCTACATTGACCACAACATCTTTTCCGACAGTATCATGTCCGTTTCCTTTACTGGTGATGTACACACTCATCTAGTAACCTGTCACTCCCCTACAAACGTTTCTACAGATCTGGAAATTGAGCAGTTCCATGAAGAGCTATCTACTTGTGTACGTTCCTTTCTACCCCATGACGTAGTAGTTATAGCTGGCGACCTGAACGCTCATCTGGGTAAATACACCTGCAACAACAACGCATACTATGAGTGTACAAACCGAAATGGACAGCATCTCCTAGACTTTGCCCAAGAAAACACATTTACTATCGGCGGGTTGAAGTTTAGAAGAAAGCTTCCAAAAAAGTGACTTGGACTGCACCAAATGGTCAACTGCATCAGAATGACCACATCCTCATTCGTTCTAATTGGCAGAACTCTCTTAAAAACTGTGAGTCATACGTCAACCCTTCAGTTCAATCTGACCATCGGATTCTTACAGCGACCATCAAACTGTCAATAAGGGCCAACATCACCCGGCCTAAGGTTATTAAGTATGACTGGGAAAGGTTAAAGAGTGATACACCACTGTTGAATGTCTTCCTACTTCAGCTCCAGAACAGGTTCAACGCCTTAATGGACCTTGAAAGTGAGTCGGAAGACCTGATCCTACAAAATCAGCACATTTACACCAACATGATAAGTGCTATCAACGACACAGCTGAAAAGGTTCTTTCTAAAAGGAAGAAGACGAGCCTAACGGCCCAGATTTCGTTCAACCCTGAGTACCTGGCAGCTGTCAAGGCACGAGATGCTGCTTTGAAGGATAGTCACAAAAGGAAGACAGGAGCCGCTACTAAAGCCCTGCGTGACGCCACCCTCAAAGTCAGAGAGGTCGA